TTACTTGGTTGTTTTAACGGAACCCTGTTATACTGTGATACCTTTGTAATGTGGTCGAATAATCTTTGTTAGTGTTAATCCACTCCCATCGATATACACTGCTCCATCCGTTTGTGTTCATTGGACTATAATGCCAGAGTTTGTCTCCAGAACAATTGTATGTTCTTGTATCTTACATGTTCCTGTATGTTGACGCAAAATATGTCAGCCATGTATCAATACTGTGTAAAATTCAATAAAAATTTGTATTCAAAAAAAAAAAAAAAAAAAAAAAAAAAAGCTCTTCATGGCTTCTGGCCTTGTTATATTTTTGACCTTTTAGTCCCATACACAATGGCAATTCGACTGAAAACTAAAGGGGACAGAGCGTTTGCTGTCAGTCCCTTCTTAAAACACACTTTTATAGGAGAGACTTTCCCCATCTTATTTGACTTTATCCCTTTTATTTTATTCTATTTAACTTGCTTTTGAAAAGTGCTCTACAAATAAAGATTATTATTATTTATTATTATTAATTCAGAGACAGTAATATTGTAATATAACTAATTACTCTCATATGACTAGTAATCTATAATCGGATCGCATCAGGTGCTGGATGCTAAGTTGCTTTCAGGGGAAGTCGGAATTTATCCCCTTGTGAATGTGTAAACACAGCGATATAAAGGCCTTCATGGTGTATTCCTCAGAGAAATTACTGCTTTTAAAAGAAAGACATTTTTCCACAGCAATATCAAGAAAGAGAGCTTCCATTTTCCAGAGTTTACACAGTAAACACCATGTGGCTGAAATTTTACAGATGATACTCTGAATTGCAGTTCCATTGAAGGCAGCACTGAGCTGCGCCACAAGAAGCTGACAGAAACACAGAGAGAAGAGTTGTTACGATTCACACAGCCTTGTCCAGTCGCAGAGGAATAAACTGACAGGTTTTAATGTTGCAGACCACAGTTTTAGTAGTTGAAAGTTTAAACTGGTATTGTTATAAATCTTTGGTGTAAACTTGCCTTAAAACTTTCACCTCAACAAACTCTCCCCAAAAGCAATTCAGCGCCCCCCTTTCCAAAATATTGCTTCCAGCACACCCCATCATCTTCCGAACGCCCCCTGGGGGGCAGTACCGCCCCCGCTGAGAAACTACTGTAGTGTCTTGATATTCCAATGAATCACTTATGATCGTGGTCATTCGTACCATAAAATCATCATATGAATGTCACAATGACATTGATAAACAGCAAATATTATCTGTTTCAGGAGTGTTGAGAGGCAAACGGAGAAAAGAAGAGCAGAGAAGACTCTCACCTCTGCAGCCAGGTGCTTACTGTGGGCCAACATCTCCTGCAGGGCTCTAACAGAGAGACACTGGGCCAAGACAAAACCACATACAGACAGGTCTGGTGGAACATTCTGTGAGAAATAAAAAAACAAAAACAAAGGAGCAGGTGTCATTGGGGTAGTTTCTTATCTGTCTCCTCCCTCCAAAGGCCAACAATGTAATTAGCAGTGACAAGATCCACAGCAAATTGGGAATTGGGCAGTACAAATGGGGAGAAAAGCAGGAAAACAAAAAAATCAACAAATACATACATTATGAAAAGATGTTGAATAAATTAATAAATAACATGACTGAAATATTATGAAATATTAAATGTGATAAGTTAGAGGTGAATTAGTAGTAGAAAACAACAAGAAAAGAAGCGTAAAGATACCGAAGAATAACATACTGTTCAGACACAATTAGCAGACATTCTTTAAAACTTTATGTAGAAGGACAGACTGATGTCAAAATGTCAACAAGCTTCTGGTATTATAGTTTGAATGATTACTATATATATTGGTGTTAAACATACAGTAATTTTGTACAGATCAAATACTGTTGAACTTTCAGTGAATTATTCATTTGCATAATTTTACACATCTCTCTTTTATTATTACAAATCAAAGGTGATGAGGTGTGGCAATAATTGACAAATGGGTTGCTCTGGCAATGAGAGAAACGTGTGCAATCACTGAGGTGGAGCTCTTTACCTTGCAGTTAGAAGTGAACTCGAGCCTGCAAAGTCTGCTGCCAAATCCCTCAGCAGCAAGACAGAGCTTTACTTGTTCCTCCTGGGAGGTGAAGGTACTCTGCAAAACCACCTCGTCTCCCTGAGAAAAACACATCACAGAGATGACAGCAGCAAGAGCAAACTCCCATATGAGTTACAGATTCCCATATACTAAAAAAAAAGACCACATTCATAGGGCGAGTGCAAATTAAGATTCAGCTGATTTGTTTGTGAATGCCAAAGCTGATATAAGTAAATTACAGGATTTCATAGTGCCAAAAGAAATTCAAGCACTCAGTTTTCCCCCTGAAATACACAATTTTGACTAAGGTTCTGAAGCATCATTTAGACACTACAACTTCCTACTGAACGTCATATTTATAGAATTCTTTTAGGAGAGTTAAGATCCCCATTCAGTGCCAGCATGAAATTGATTAGGAATCCTGTAAACAATCCCACAAGAATAAATGACAGTAAGGCAAAAAGACATAAATGGCAGAAACTCTGAGCAAACTGCACGAAAACATACAGTATTTTTAAAATGATCCGTTGTCACTGAAGGTTTTACATACGGTTTTTATTTAAGTGTATTCAAGAAAGACCGTCAGTCATACTGGCATGACTTTTCAGGGCTCTATATTCCCACAACACAGAGTAATATGTCTTCCCTCGCTGATCAGGTGACGTCAGTTTCAGGAGTCGCATTCTCCCAGTTAAACCTTCATTCATATCAAATCAATAAATTGAGTTTAAGCGAATTCAATCCTGGAGATTGGATAAAATCCTATTAAACCCCAAAGCTAATTGCAACTGCGCACAAGAATTAGCAGCCTCAAATAGTTTGAAAAGAAATTCAATAATGAAGAAGCAGAAACAACAATGTATTTTTGCCATTTGTTAGGTCCAATGTACATCCTATATCTTTGGTAATCTCTTGGCCCTGTACCTTGTGCACGCTGTATGCTCAATTTAAAAAGATTGATGCATTCATGTTACTTCTCAAAACAATTTCTGTGCCCCTAAATGTAAGAATAGAGCTGATGATTATATATATCAGTAAAACATGGTCTAGCCCTACAGTAAATGCATGTACAGTAGCTCTGTCACATAAAATTTATCTTATCTCCATTTAAATGCCAAATGGACCATGTGAAAGGAATTGGGCTTTTCACTTCTATTTAAGGAATTGTAGAAAGGAACAACAGAGGACTGGTCTGGAAAGTCCAGCCAGGACACCTCTCCATACCTCCATTTTGGGAAGATACTGCACTGTCTGACCCCTGATTCACCCTTCTTTCCACTCCTCATATCAGCAGTACTCTGCAATCTGTCAAACACATTGCCCAACGAGGCACTGTGTGGCATTCAGATGGCCAGAGCACTCAGCTCTTCTTCAAGGTGCATTTGGTAAGTGAAAATCCAAATGTCGAAAGCCGTGGCAATTCGAAATGCATGTTCATTCGGCTGCAACCGGCTATAAAAAGTCATGTTTTGGATTTGAAATTGATGCTAATCTTTTTTTTTTTTCAATTTGTACAATACAGTGTTTCCTGTGCGGTTTTATAGTGCATGTGGACCACACTGCCTCAAACAAAGACCACGTCCACTACCACCATAAAAAATAACTGTATTTTTATTACAAGAACCAGAAGTGCTGCCTTTGCATAAATACCATATTTAACAAATGTGTTTCTGCTGTCATCTACTAAATTGAAGATGATGATTTGTCAGGATCTGGGTGGCTTCCTGCCTCGGCTGAACATTTTCCTTGGAGAAACCCTGTATTTAATGTAATAATGTATGACAGATATCTACAGTGCTATTTCATATTGTGGATCGATCTTGCAAAATGACTTCGCCCCAATCTTGATACTGTGTTCAATTGTCTCATATCCACCCCAGATACTCCCTGTAATATGCCCTTATCAGAGGGCAATGATAACAAGCTGTGAGAGGACAACTTACAACTAGGGAACAATGATAGCATCTTGCAGTTAAGATGAGAAAGGCCATTTGCAATCTTCCTTTAGTGATGGTGTCAAAACAAGTGACAAAGATGGCAAAAATGCTGCGGAGATCTGATTTACAAATTAAATCTTATAATAGTTACTATATGCATCTTTTGTTACTTACACTAATAAATAATAAAAAAAGAAACATGAAATTAACAACTTTTATGTTACAGCAACGCATCATAAGGTCACACTTTATTTTGACAGACCCATGCTTACTGAAATTAAACCAAGATCTAGTAATGTTTAGTTACGTTTCTACAATAATGACTCACTAATTAATATTAAAACTAAGGTGATATGTTTTAAATAGTAGAAGTAATTTCAGTCTGTAAAGATGCAGCATGCATGGATTTGGACCAATTTGTTAAGTTGCACCTTAATGAGAAGTTACTTTTTGTATCCTGAGACACTAATGTTAAACTACTAAGTATCTTCAACCAAGTCCAGTTGCCTTTGACTCTAACCTTCTTTGGATACACAAATAAAGTGTTATATTTAAAATATGAATTAAAATGAGAAAGATATGAGATGTTGACTCACTGCCTCTCTCCCAAAGAGCCAGGTTATGTTACTAATTGTTTATCTAATTGTTGGCGCTGTTAGCTAAGGTTAAGTCAGTTTAGCTAGACAAGGCATTAACCATTAACTTTACATTTAAGGGCAGTTTAAAAAGTGGTTGACTTACCGTTCGTAGAAACTGAAATTCATCGTCGCCCTCTCCAGTGTTAGTCATTATTTTAGCGACACAAGCCACATTAGACAGAGTTAAGCAATAACGACGGCACTGACAGGGAAAGAGGAAGACTGGAGAAGCAGGAGAACGAAGATGTGCAGCCGGTGTGGGTGGAGTCTGCTGTTAAGATCTGGGCCTCCCGTGACTCCATTTTGGCGGGAGTACTTTGTCAGTGAAGCTTTGATGTGCTAGCATGTAGCTATGGTGACCAGACCTCCCGAAAAATTCGGGACAGTCCCGAATTAGGAGCAGTTGTCCCGACTCCTGTCCGGTTTGTCCCGAAAATTAGACTTACCGTGAGTTTTGATTATAGCCTAATTAAACATCCTTGTGTAGTTCTCAGGCTCCAGCAGGGGTTGCAGGTTGTCTGTACATTGTGTCAACAGCATGTAACAAAATAAGTGTAGCTTCAGGCAGCCACGGCAGAGATCTGACACGCGCGTTGCCAGACAGATGTGACACGAAATGAATAAAATTAAAACTTAAAAAATTGGGTAAAAGATCATGATTTACCCACTGTTACATATCCACAGTTGTTTTGTTTGTCCTAATGAACAAAAATAATTAGGTAATTTTAGCATTGTATTCCCCTCCCCCACTCCAGACCCGAATTTCATCCATTCTCATCTGGTCACCCTACATGTAGCATCCATTTACCCTCAGGAGCTCATAGTTCACTTTATGTCACAGGTTATTAATCTGTAAACATCACAAATTAAATTGTTATATTATATATGTATTTTTTAGCCCTGAGAGGCTCTATGAAAAGCTAAACCATTAATACATTGTTCTTTCCATCCAACAGTTTAATATAACAGGGTGAAGGAATAATTGCAGCCTCTGAAGATCATATTGCAGATGTCACCTTTCTACAAAGTCTGAACTATTTTACCAATTAAAAAATATGCTTTACTGTATGGCCAATTGTATTGAAGTTCTTCTTAGCTTGTAAAACTGTACTTAAAATGTAGCTTAACTAGCACTGCCACTACAGCCCACACAACCCATCTCGCCAGTGTCTTATCCCAGCCGTACAGTATGTACTGTATTAGTCTTTTTACCTGTAACTGTTGATCACATAAATGCTAATTATAATCTCATACCGATAAGAAGAATTTGACATAGCCTACAGAAACATGATTATGAATCAAAATAAAGGCCTGTTGTCTTGCTATTTTTACAACTACTGATGTAACACATCTTTTTAACAGCATCACTGTCTAAACACCGACATAGAATAAGCTGATGTTTAGTGTCAGTCCTGGTACTAAAGGACTTCTCAATCAGTTCGGTTGACAGAAGGTTCCAGTCTAGTAGACTTTGGCGATGGGGCTTTTGTTTACATGTGGATTACGGCTTTATTTATTCTCAGATATGCAGACAAATTGCAAATGACAGACATAATACATGCAATGATTTCTCAGGTTGAAAGTCTGAATTCGTCACAAGCACTTTATTTAATTAATTCATTACCCTCAAGTACAAAGTTTAACTCACTGAATTCTGTGATAACTGAGCCAGCAAATGCCTTTGAGGCATCAGTACAGCCTGAGCATCTTAATTTTCCTATCAAACTACAACAAATCAAACCTTTAGAGATTGGTGTTGTCAAACAATGTTCATTTGTTACAGTAAAAATAAACTTCTCTTTTAAAGGGAACTGCTTGCATCTAAATATTAAATTAATATAGTGTGCTCCGGTGCCTTGTGTTCAGTTTGTGTGAAGTGGCCAATGATCCTCTTGACAGAAAATGCCATTACTTTCACAGTATTTTTGCATTTGCAGGGTTCACAAATTGCCAATGGGTGTGAAATTGAACACAAAGGATTTTATCATTGTTTTTCATTAGACTGTTTTCAAAGACTGAGCAGAGAGTAATATACAGAGAATTAGCATGTTATGAGCGTGTACATAATGAGCACATTTTCATTAGGTCATTGCCACTTTTCTATTTGTGACAATTAACTATTCGGATATTCCTTAAATACTTTTTCTTAATTTGATGCTCAAATGGTATCAAACATGAATATACTGAAAGGTGAATGTAGCCAAAGAGCTATGTGATTTGGACAAATCAGGAATGAGCGAATATTTCTACTAACAATAGGTCTTAAAATGTGCCAAAGAAAAATTGGGAAACACTTGACTACAAAAGAAAACATATTTAGTCAGCACACACATTAAAATGTGCCAAAATGAAGGCTTTAGGTGTGTACTACTTTTTTTTATTTTTTATTTGGCTGGTAACACTGACGACTTAACCTATTGTGCTTCATTTGATCTTTTTTTCATATTAGTGTATTTATTTTTAGAGTTTATTGTACTTATTTTTGGGAACATGTAAGCATTAACATGTTTGTTTCTGCCTGAGAAAATGTTTTCTTAAAACATTACTCATGCATACTGCACATTTGGTCTTCAGTGTTCTCTGCCTTTAAACCACTGAGCAATTTTAAACATTTACTCTTGCATTCATGCGGTATTCCACTTTTCCTTTGTTGATACTGTATATTTTGGCCTTCTGTGAACCCATTTTCTGCCCTGTTTATTGTTGGATCACAGTCGGTCTAAGATTGCTTTTACAAACTGTAATTCACTTTAAAACATCTCAAAATGCCTTATCAAAAGATTGTATTCTCAAAACAAAGGCACTGCGAGGAAATATAATGCATGACACTGCTACACAAAACAGGACTTTCATGTGATCTGTATTTATGGAGAGAATTTCTCCTCTAGCTTTACCTTCATCACAGAACCCTACTTTCTGCACAAATACCACAACACACAAGATAAAATGTACAATGCACCGCTTCTCACAATATATTTTTAACATGGCAATACATTTTTGTTTAGGGGGAATATTTTATCCAAGCGTACAAAGACACATGACAATGCTCAGCTTGATTGTAGACAGTCTAATGCATCAGAAAACTATGGTCACACAAACAATTCATTCAACATATTTGATCCAACTTTCTTATAGATTCCTTAAATTCATTGAGATGGAAGGCAGGGGGTTAAAGGTCGCTCTCTCCATAGAGGGCGGTGGAGAAGGCAGTGTAGTCCAGTGCTCCTGGAGGTGCTCCATGGCCGGTGTAAGGTGGCATCCTCATGATGCAATACTCTGCTTGTTCAGGAGGAAGTTCTCTCCTTAGCTCCTCCACTAGTATGTAGGGCTGCAGTGGTAGAAAGAAAATGCATATTCACTTTCATGTTTCATGAAGGATTAATGTCAATAACCCTCCCGCACACACACACACACACACACACACACACACACACACACACACACACACACACACACACACACACACACACACACACACACACACACACACACACACACACACACACACACACACACACGCTGCTTTTCCATTTTAAGCGCATGAACAAAATTGTAGTGCATAAACCGACATGGCAAATACTTGGAAATAATGACTGGAATAGAATAGATTAGCGTTGGCTAAGAATATCTGCAAATATGCCAGTAAGTCACACTAATACCAACACACATACCTTGTCACTTGCCAGGATCCGGAAGGATGCCACAACCTGCTCGGCAGTGTCTGTATCAGCAGTCTCTCTGGTCATAAAGTCAATGAAAGACTGGAAAGAGACTATTCCTGTACCATTGGGGTCCACAAGTATCATTATACGGGCAAACTCCACCTCTCCCTGTGTAGAGTGTACAGTATGTGTGTAAAATACAAATTTGAAAATTGTGAGAGCAACCGATTATCCACCCAACCACATTTGAATTACCTACCAAGTCATAACCCATAGAAATGAGGCAGGCTCTGAAGTCATCAGTGTCCATTGCTCCATTCTTCTTCTGCAGTCAGAAGCCAAATTTCAGGTTCACCGTACAGAAAATGAGGAAAGGTTAAAGCATGGTGCATCATATACAGTACAACGTGCTTGTCAGTTCAGCATTAAAACGTGACAATACAGCAATACTGTAAGACCAAATCCTATGTGTCCCATGCAATGTGCAATTTTTTCAAACTTTGCCAAATCTAACACTGTTAATTTTGATGTTTTGATATGACATGGTAAAATAACTGAGGAAGAATGCTTTCAACTTTAAGCACCTAATCTTTTACCATTTGCAATAACACATTAAAAGATGCTTTAATGCAATGTTGAAACTAAGACTCTTATTCGTAAGATTCTTATGAGCCATAAAAGTCAGCTAAATATGGCTAAAACATTCCACAGTTTAATAGCAGCTACTGTTTATAATGCCTTATTTGTGGTAATCTGTGTTGGACAAAGGAGAATAGTTCATTTTCATCCACTCGCTCCACCGGGAGTCGCTCCGGATCAAATTTAGGGTCAAGCATCTTGCAAACAAACACTTCTTCTCTATAGATGTGAAATGGTAGAGCTGTACCCTGTCAAAGTGGTTGAAAGAGGATCGGAACTCATTCATCTGCTGCTGGCTGATGCCTTTGGCATCCCGGGTCAGGATCTGGGTCTCAATCTCGTTGATGGTTCGGGCAATGGTTGTGAGGAGCAGCTCCCACCCGACACGGATATGCTGTTGATGTGGTGACAGAAATGACAAGTTAACACAGCCTTGAGCAGTTTAATGAATATTAAATGTTTAAAAAACAAACTGGATTAGGCTACAATACTGATTTTCAGTATTGAGTAGCTTACGTAGGAGTGTGTGTATGTGTTCGCAAATACTGTACATGCATGCACTGTTCATGTCCATAGTCTTGTATCACTGTTTGCCACTGCTGTGTACCTCCATAGTGTAGTTGGTGTGTTTGTTATCGAACACCAGTGACTCTTGGATTAGCTGGTGGTCTCCCTCCAACTTGTCGATGTTGGGCTTGTAAGCAACAATGATGTGTTCAAATTGTTTCAGCTGGGTCATCTGGTCCTCCAGGGTGCCTCCTATCTCCAGGGAGCAACGTCCAATTTCCTGTTAGGATAACGCACTCAAGATGGTCAGCTTAATGGTAGATCAATTTAGATCATTCGATGCTAGTCTAAAGATCAGATGCTCACTGATGGAGTGCATGGAGTCATTTACCTGTGGCCAAGAGAAAATTCTGTCAGGACATATAGTATTTGATGATGATGATTTCATATGTATAATAATTCAATTATCATCATTATTTCGAAAGCCACCATCATGGTCACCCTTATGTACCACGCAATATAATTATCTTCCATTTTAGGTCTTTATTTGATTTGATAGAGATAACTGTCAAATTGCTTATGAAGCCTGTATGTCTAACCTCCATCCTGGCCTGTATCCAGGGTCCAATGAGATTAGCCTGGGCAGCAAATTGTCGTCTCAGCCTTTCATGGGCATGCTGGCGTGCCATTTCCTCCTGGAGGGCACTATCTCTCTGAGGAACCAGCTTCTTCACCTAGAAAACACAAATGCACACGTTTATTTGGAATTGTCAGAAGATGGCTCCTCCTAAAAAGCGAACTTGAACATTGAACAGAATTGTACTAATATATTTGGATTATATGCTTTAGATCCTTACTGGTTGGTGAGTCCTTTAAATCAGTGATAAAACAACTAGAGCAGCACTTCTTTACATTTATAAAGGAATGTAGATACTGCACTCCTTGTTCCTATTTTCATAATTAATGCTTTTATATGGACAGACAGCCATATCTGAATAATGACTTTATTCCTTGATGTAAGACTAAGTATTAAGGCTATAGCTACCTTTTCCCACTTGTTCAGAAGCTCTTCAATTGTGATGGTGCTGTAGGGGTTGATAATGTTGGCCTTGATCCCATAGCTCTGGGAAATCTTCTGCACCTCATTGTGGATTCCCAATATGGCCTGTCTCTCTGCATCAGCCTCAGGTAGAGTAGCTTTGAACTGCTCATGAGCTGCGATTAGACTCTGGAATAGTAAAAGGGAAGTCCTGAAATATTAAAATTTCAATTTTGTCAAGAGTGATAACATTATGTTATTCTTTCGGGTATGACAAATCTACGAACATTACAACTCACTATATAACATTAAACAGCCAAAAATGAATCATAATCATAGGTAAAGATTAACCTTAACAGCAGCAATACTGTGAAATTAAACTAAAATCTCACAAATAGCAGTAAGTGTGTGAGCCTACAGTCCAGCAAGTAAGCATACCTGGACCTCTTCAATAGTATGCACTATGAACATGTCCTGGAGATCCTCCATGGCTCCATCCATCCAGTTGTTGAAAGGAGCCGACCTCTTGGCAAACTCCAAGAACAACTGATCAATAGTCTCCAGCAGCTTATCTGTTCGCTAAGAGAATTACAGCTCTGCATTAGGCTCTACCTTGAACTTAGGGGTCATCTTCATATCTCACTTACAAATCCCAAACAAACATCCCCTAAACCATTTAATGACTAATCCCAGGGTACATAACTTTGGTATGGCCTTGTTAACCCCCAACTTGGGTTTGGTTGTTCATGACAGAGTCCCTCCCCTCAGCAGGGGGTGGCAGGGAGTGGAAGATCGACAGAAAACAAACCCCTGTCCCTGTCATTCAGACTTAATCTTTTGGCCATTTTCCCGGGCCCCTCACACATTTGCAGGTCTGGAATTGCTAGCCTGGATCAGAGGAAGTGGCTAGTGGGCTTTCAGCCAGTCACTTCCTGGATTGGGCTCTTACATCTATTTCTCCTTTATCCCCTCCACCCTCCCATTTTACCATCCTATCTGGGTCAGGGATTTTAGAGGGGATACATTTAGGTCTCCTTAATCAGTCGTGTCTTCACTGTTCAGGTATCAGTGACAGACACCTAAATATGCTTACACAGATATTTTGATTAAGTTGGGTTAGGATGCAACTTCATTCTGCATCCATGTGGAACATTAGTGCACTCTTGTGGGGACTTACTTATCACAAGTTTCAACATGTGCACATAAATGAATCCTTCACTAGCTAGATATAAAAATAAAAAAACACTTTAAGCCTTTAAAAAAACTGGTCAAATGGATATGAATGTTTTTCATCTGCTTTCAGTCACAAATTCAGCCTTGACTGTTGCCTTCACCTCCAGTGCCTCTCTCCTCTTCTGAGTCAGGGTTCCCAGCTTGTCCCACAAGTCACAGATGCTCTGGCAGCGTTGGTTCACAGCAGCAACGTCGTGGTAATCCAGCTCACTGGAAAAACAAAGCACATACTGCGGTTTGTTTCAGTTGTGGAAAAGAGCTTTACTGTGCTCACCAGGCACTGAGGTAGCTTTCATAAAAATAAAAATAAAAACTGTCCGTGTGAAATAGCTATCCAAAGTGTAAAAAGCAGCACAAAGTCACTGCCATAGTGATAAATGTTTCAGTTAACACAACCCCCCACCACCACCCTCGTACAAGTACTAAGGTCTGATCACATTTTAAATTTAAAATGAAATGTGCCCTGCCATCACAGACTGAGAAATGAAATACATTTACTACACTACAAATGCAGCTGCATACGCATAAGTTGAAAGCTTTTTAAATGTCCTGTTTCCAAAGCCGAACAGAACAGGCAATTTTTATTTTGTTGGTTTTGGAAAAGCAAATTAAATGACAGAACAGGCACATGCTGGTCTTTAAGTTAACAATAGCAAACTAATGTTAGATTTATGGAAATATGTGAAAGTTTATTTCAAACCATTTTGAGTCACCAAGTTGTAGGCTCAAAATGCAGTTCCCAGCATAGTTATTAGCATTTTCTTAGTCTTAGAGGACAGGTAGCCAGCTTGTAGGTGCTGATTCTTTTTCCCCTTGCTACATTACATTAAGTTGGTTTCGCCTGAGCTCTTAGCATCATGGTAAAGGCTTTTCATATGTAGACACTGTCAAGGAGGATCTGCTCTTATGACGTGGATTGGAGTTTTTAAATCCAGTACCTGATATTCTGTCTTCTGTAGTTGAACAAAATGCAATTTTTAAAATCAAATGTTAGACTAGTCAGCCAACAAAGTAAAGCATTTGTGTTCATTTAGTATTTTATTTAAAACTTCAGAACAAGCAACTTGAAACACAGACATCAATACACAAACACACAAACACACACACACACACACACTTGAGTAAGCTGCGGGGACTACTAGAGTTGCCTTTACTCTGGTCTGCTTCAGGTTGGTTTAAAGTCCTGTTAAAGTTTTGGTATAGTCCTGAGTCCATAACTGGGAACCTCCTAGGACTGAGTTGAGGAAGACTGGAAGTTGAGCACTAGGGAAGAAGTCTTTCATAATGGACTTCCTCCCAGTGGTCTATGCCAGTCTCATAGTCTGACTGGAAGTGAGAGACTGTGCCTGGAGGATGCTGACCATTCAAGAAGAGGTAGTAATGGTTCAGTCCCTCTGCTCCTACTTGTGAAACTGGCTGGACAGGGACTTCTTCAAACATGGAAGCAGCTGACAACTCCTCACCTCCACGTAGAGCCGAGGCATAGGTAAGCAGTGGCATGAAATCTTGTTCTTCGATTTCCAGCTCTTCATTTCCATGCTCGTAGATGGATGCATAATGACTCAACTCACCAGCCTGGAAGACAGGTCCCTGATATGGAGAAGGGCGTGGCACAAAGCTTAAATTTCCATTTCCGATTAAGCAAGTTCCTTTCAAGCTCACCTGCCTTAAACAAAGGTGGAGCTTGGGAAGGACTATGTCAGGTATAGGCTAAGTTGTTCCAGACTCGCTCTTGGCATGCGTAGAGTCTGCCATAGGATCCCAACCAGAAGCAGCAATCCATGAAGCCACATTGAATATGTCTAAAGCAGGTCTTGCTGCATAGGGTTTCAGGACTAGAATACACTTAATCTTTCACTGGTTCATTTAGGAAGTAGATTGGATAACCCACACCGGAAGGCTGAGCAACAGAACCTTCAGATGAACTATATAATGGAGGCCAGGAGCTGCCTCTATGTTAGTAAAACTGCCCTCATTAGGATCGCGCTGGATCCAGCCTACGGGCAAAAGAGAGAAAAAAACAAATTGTGGTAAAAATTAATGAGGCAAGAAAGCGTGCGATAGCATTTAAAGTCTTTCGAGTCTGTAACGATTTCAGAGTACATTTATAGTCTTCAGTGAAGTGACATTCTTACCATTTTGAGCAGGAAAGCAATGGACATTCCAGCTGAACTGTGCAATGAGGAGCAATTGACTGCAAGAGAAAATAGCATGGTCAAAAGCTTAGTAAAATATACAAGCCATTAATAGAACATGAACACACAAACATTGGTCATTTGACTATCACATACCTTGCAGGAACCCAAACGGCCAATTTCCTTGTCAGCTGAAATGTTATCTTCCTCTCTCACAGCACCAGTTAAATATGAAACAGGAAATACTCTGTGGCCAATCCCTCGCTGAGAATGATAACGATGGTCAGGTGTTCATCACTGATTATTGATTGAAAATGTCAGCATGCCTGTAAACCACACCTTCACCCTTCTATTACTGTGTATAATAACAATAATTTTATACTGTAGTGATAAGCATGTAACTAAGAAGGGTTTGAATAATTTTCAGGAATGCTTTTCACAAAGTGGTTCCAAAACCAAAACCATCTTACATGCAAATCAGAGTTTAGAGACAGTGAGTTCATATTGTTCCAAATTATTTTCTTTTCAATCAGTTTCTGTTCTTCCACTGCCTCAAATGTGAACAAAGAGAACAGATGTTCTCTTTGTTCACTGCATATTCAATGTGAATGCCGTGTTCTGTTGTGCACATGTCCTTTGTTGCTTGTCATCCATAATCTATCCAGGCATCAACCCTTGTAGGTTATACATTAGCTTAAGTGTCTAAAGCCAAAATGCTATTAAAATAATATTTAAAAGAGAGAAACAGATCCGTGATTGTGTTTGGCAGGAGTGAAAACGTACTCCTGGGCCTCCATGACACATGACTGCAAACGTCTGCTAAAGGGAGTGCGTACTTTAGTTCCTGTGCAATGGCGGCAATCTGCTCCACTCTGTCCTGGTGGGCTGCCAAGTCACTCTCAAAGGCCTCGTGTTTTCGAAGCAATGCTCTGATTTCTGTCAGGGTGGCTGCTTCGTAGTCCTTCTGGGAGAGGATCAGTTCTTTACCTGAATTTCACACATATGCAAAGAGAGAGAGAGAGAGAGAGAGAGAGAGAGAGAGAGAGAGAGAGAGAGAGAGAGAGAGAGAGAGAGAGAAACAGGATGATTAGTAGATTAGATCTAAACACAAGCCTTATTTGGTCGTTGCAGATGAAGAAAATTAACTGTTGCATCCCACTACAGGCTGATTGCATTGGGCAGGGTCTAAAATCTTTAATCAAATCTCATTAGGGAACAAGTCTAAACAAAACCCACGGTTAAAGGAAACACTTGAACACTGAAAAGCAGGCAGATAATCAGGAATACAGATGCCTGTAGATGAACGGAGCGCTAACAAATCAAGATAAACAGATAAACATGCAGACATAGACATACTGTAGCAGTGAGAGATAGATAGAAAAGCAAGAATGCAGACAATTAAAAAGCCAAACTACAACTGACCGCTGGCCCAGTTCTCATGATTGGTGGCTTTTTGGCGAAACTTTTCAGCCAGATGGTCTAGCCTCTCCAACCTACGGATCTCTGTAAGGAGCCACTCCTCATAGCCTTTCTCTGCCTGCTCCAGGCCTTGCCATGCACTGGCTATGTCCTGCAGACACATTGACAATGGAAAATCACAAATTCACTTAAGATTTTTGAATTGATTCTACACTGTCAAATAAGAAAAATTGATAAATAAATGTTATTTGCAGTTGGAAATAGGGGTGAACCTAGAACCTGTTACTCCTTAATCATGTTTAAGATTTAACCTCTAAGGCATTTTCCCAAAGACTTTATACAAACAGTGGTGTACACAATCATGAACACTGAATTCTAAGCAGAGAAACAATATGAAGTCGGGACTTACAGATACCATCTTCCCCTCAGAGGGCATGAAGGCAGGGCGATTGCTGATGCGCAACTTTGTCTGCAAGGTGTTGAAGTTAATTTCCAGCTGGCACTTCTCCTGCACTTTAGGGGGCTTGTGCTGGCGTCTGTAATCCCTGAAGTCCTCCAGCTTCCGCTGCATCTCTGCCATGGTCTTCTCTGGGGTCCGGTTCTCCAGCCAGGGAGTGGTGCGGCGGATCCACTCCAGCAGCTGGGAAAGGACAACAATAAGTGGAGAGCCAAGAGAGCTCCATGTTAAGATAGCAGTGTGTCAGGAAGATTGTGATGATTTTTTTCAGCATGGGTCTCAGGTTATCACCACAATGGTATAAATAAGTGGGCGAAAGAAGGATGTTTTTTGATTTTGAACTTACGTCTGTACTTTTACTTTGAAATGCTTCCATGTAACAGGCAGAGGACAAACTTTAGGTTTAGAACCTTTGCAAAATCTTGCTTTGAGTATGTAAGTTCAAATCATGCTTTACCTCACTGGCCAGTCTCTCATACTCCTCCATCATTTTCTCATTCTCCTGGTTTACACCGAGCACCTTACAGATCCTGTTGGCAGCCGTCTCTGCCTAAGAGCACAGGGAACAACAGTAATGTTATTGCATAAGCAAAGTAACACAGTGGGTCATGCTCAAACTGATCCTCTCAGTCTCTCTTTTAACATTATCCTCATACTAAATTTGCTCAAAATTTGACATGTCAAAATCAAACCATTCTCGAAATTCATGAAGGATAGAGAAGTAATCTAAAAAGAGAAATTGGTTAGGGCACTGTTTCAACCACTATACCTGCTCAGCTCCAGCAAAAGCATGGTAAAAGCAGGACACATAGGTCATGATAGCTCTTTCATCAGGCTTGGGGGTGTTGATGATATCTGTGGCATTGAGAGGGAGGAAAAGTCAAGGTAGCAGAAAGGAAGAAAAAACATCAAAAATCAAAAAGTGGAAAATTACTTTAGAGAATGGAAGGAGACAGAAGCAGCACCAATTTTAAGTATTCTTCAAGTGTGATTTTAAGACAGAAATAGACCTCCAACAGACCAAATATTCTCACATATTTGCATGAACACATACTGTGAAGTTCATATTGCAAACACATATCTCAAAGAAAAATGTATGAGAAGTTTTGAATCCAAAAACTCATATTGGGTACATCTATTTCATAACACATTACCTTCTGCGTCCAGCATTTTGGGAATGTCCAGGTGTTTCTCGGCTATGTCAAAAGCCAGGTTCAGGTTCCCCAGAGGATCATCCTAAATAAAGAAACACAGTTCTACATAACTGAACAGCAATGCTGGACTTAAAATGCCACCGCATTGACCTCCATGCTATGGTGAACACATCATACTCCCTGATTACCAACTGTACATGCAGATTAATTTAATAGCACTCGTTTTAAGGTTATTTTTGACGGAGCTGCTACATAAACACCAAAGACTGACTTTATAGGTTTTCTAGTTTTCACGAGCTGTTTGATTATTAGGAACTTCACATATTGATGATTGCCGTTTGATTAGTCCCAAGAAACCAGTCTCACTGGGAAAATGATGTTGTAATTTTCTCAAATTCATAACATGAATTACTTTTGGTACTGTTTTTAAAACAACAGCTTACATCAAATCATTATTACAATTTTTAAACAAGTATAACAAGTGATGTCGTTGAGATGAGAGTTTGTTATCTGTACTTCATAAGTGACTTGAACAACTCTGCTATTATGATAAATTTTCATATATGAAACAGCTAGTAATTAATCATTTAAAAGATAACTCAAGAAAACAATTTACCCTTAGAATATACATACTGTATTTCTTGAAATGTTCAGATTTAATCAAAATAAGCAAGTCTGGCAGGAGACACCAAGTTTTGACAGAGTGGGAGTGGTGAATTAAGCCAACAGCTGACAGTGAACCCTTCCCTGCTAACGGGAAAGCCAGTGAGAGTGCAATGGGGTAAAGGGATCATGCTATCATGCTGCTGCTATTGTCCCTATCCCTGTACCACTGTTCCATAATGGTAGGTGGGTGGGGGCTGCCACTCTATATGACAAGGCCAGCTGCTCACAGATCCAGTGCAGGACAGATAGATAGATGGATGGATACAGTGGTAAATTGATGACGGGGTGGATGGATGGATAGAAGGATACCCCAAGGCCTCTGTATGTGTGCGCCCCTGACCAGCGCTGTGTCAGCCAGCTGTAACACCGCAAGCTTCACAAACATGCTCACCTGGAGCCAGACTCAACAGCTGCCTGCCGCACAACGCAACTGTCTCCTGGCAGCATGAGCAGAACTGAAAAGTCGAGGGGTGACTGAGTGTGTGAATATGTATGTAAGAGATTGAAAGAGTGAGAAAAAGCAGTAGAGATAAACAGATATGGAATGATATGTGTGGGTGTGCCTCATCATGACTCATATTTCCTAATTATGAAAATTAACACCATCCTCGCGTTTATACTTAAAACATGACTACTAAATATCACAGCAACCATTTCATATACATCTTCTTGACTTTCATGAGGGCCGGCAGCCTTTAACTGGGGAACACTATGTGACAATAGCAGAGTTAAAGCTAAGCTTGAGCTCTGCAGGGACTAGGCTCATGTTTCTGTGACTATTCAGGGTCAACTCCGAGTCACGCCAATGAGTTGTGGACTGAAAAGTGAGTGCTTCTGCTTCCAAAACAAAACCAGCCACGGTGTTCCCCTACTATATATATATATATATATATACACACAGTATTAAGCCAAAATCCGTTTTCTCATGAATACAATTGTCTGATGTTTTAAGGCATGACCATTTAAATTTGCAATATGTGGTTCATATATTCATTGGATAAAATCACTATAAAATCTTATGGACAAAATCTCTATCGTTGGTTTTTACTAAAAAATTAAGTTTTACATCAAAACAGACTTGGCAGTGGAAGAGAGAAGCCTCAAATATTTCCAGAGCAGCCTCTGCCATCCCGTCTACAGCAACATCTTCCAGAAGGGAAAAGGAGCGTTACTTGTGTGTTATTGTTACTGGACAAACACGGGAAGGCTGTCAGCTGTGCTGTTTAGCTCTCCAAATAAGCAGCAAAGCTCACTGTGGCCCTCGCCTGTTTACACACAAACCATGAGAATCCTGGTCTTCCATAAATCCACAACATTGAATTGAGCTGTGGATTTGTTAGCCCTGAAAAACATTTAAGCACAAGTAGCATGAGCATACTTTTTAACAATTTGAAGGCAGACATGACTTGGTTTGCATATTTATCACACTTGATATAACAGAAGCCACATATCCCCACCATTAAATCCAGTGCACTAATGGGCGCAGTGGGATGCACAGCAACAGTCTTTTTTCATGCTAATTATGCTGAAAATGTGTACTAAGTAAGCTGCCCCAGTTAAGAATAATGAAGCATGAGGTGAGACTAACTGAGTGCACTTAGGATAAAAACACTCTGCACGGAAGAAGAAAAACCTCCATAGATTAAAGTAGCGTTACATCCATTAGCCATAAACTGTTTACATACACAGCAAATATTACTGCACAGTATTTCCGCCTATGACAGCCAAGCTGACTTCCCACAGACAACTTACTTCACCTCAAATAATTTACACGGTAAACAACAAGGAGTTGGTCCTATGAAATGCCACATATTTCTAAGTGTATCCAAATATGCCATAAACAGTCCCAACAAACCACTTCAAACACAAACTGCTTTATTTTATAATTTTCTCTGGATCAAACACTTCCCTGTACTCAAATAACTTAATCAAACAGGCAACCAGGTTAGCATTGCAAGTCTTCTGCAGAGAAAAGAAGAAAGGGTTAAAAAAAGATTGCAAACACCTACAGTCCTAGATACAGACTAGTTTTCATCAGTGTTTCACAACAAAAGTCAACACGTCATAAAAAGTTAGCCTTAAGTGCCATTATCCTGACTTCAGTGTGCATTTCTTTTCATCAGTTCACACTGTGACAGGAGTGTTATTTTTGTGGATCACAGTCTGTTAGTGTTTTGGGGCTGAAACACAGCATCCCGGTTACAAGTGAAACCACACGACACCTTATTGAGCTTAGAGTAGTCGAGGAGGTCGGGTCTGTGTCTATGAATCAGGGCGCAGAAGGCCAGGCCATCCTTCCAGCTTCACCGGCCGATGAGCAGAGAGAACCAACATGTCAGTTCAGAGAGGTAACATGCTAACTTGACTCAAGAGATGAAGCTGCTGGAGTCCGGTTTTAGCATTAACCATTAGCGGTGCAACAGCACTCGGTAAATATTTTGCTTTGTTTAAAGTCAGCCTCAGGAAGAAGTGACATAATGCTATCAGATCAACATATTCACTGTAAAAAACTGCATATTACTGTGATATGTACTGCTATATAATAAATTGTCTTGTATGCCCAAATGGAATGAAAACAGTATTTTGAGAATATTTCAATCACATAAAACTATCGCTCTTACTGAACAGCATTTAAGAGCCAATTAACAGTCTGTGATGTGCTGAACACTTACCTGACATGGAAGTTTTGGACATTGACATTCCTGTAGGGGGCAGTCTTTCTCTGACACCACAGGAGGAGACCTTCCTTGGCAGATGTTTCTGAGGCGATAGGAATTTGTTACATCATATAGCACCAGACTGCTTTGCCTTCTAAAACCTCCACATTCACATTTTATGTCATTCCTTTTTTAAGTACATTCAGTGGACACAAGGTACCTATAGAAAATTAGCTAGATTTGGATTTTTTGGGGTGTTTATTTTCTCACCTTCCACAGAAATGTCCTGAATGGCGAAGCGGAGGATGATAGTCCAGATCATTCCAAGAGTCATCTTTACATTACCGTCCACAATCTCTGAAAGGCAAGCAACCTCTTACAATTAGTTTGCACTAGAGCAAATAATAAAATCTGATTATTACTCTTATTATTTCATGCTTGGGAGGTCATATTGGACACTTGATTGCTTGCAGTATATTAAGATATACAGGAAGGCTGCGGGTACCTTCAGCTCCAATGGAGACCAATTTCACTCCTTTGCTTGTGATGAAGTCCAGCGCTTTATTGACGTTAGCAATCTTATGAAATCGCATCTTCCCTCTGTCTGGCTTGGGTAACCTCTCCCCTTCAAATAGAACAATTATGACAGAGTCAGACACATATGTAACCTTACATGTATGTGCACATTACCAGAAAATTGGTTTTAACTGAAACAACTACATTAAATGCAAAATAAACCACAAAATTAATATTACTGTACTGTGATGAAAATGTGCATTTTGTATACCAAAGAGGAAATCATTGAAAGGAACTAAGAAAACATGAAGTTATAAAAGAAACATCTTCCCTTCCTTACCTGAGATAACTTCCAGTAGCAGCATGAGTTTGAGTCCATTCCTGAAGTCCTCCTCAATATTTTCAATTTGAGTACCAGCTTTCCTCAGGTGGGAGTTACACCAGGCTGTGAAGGTCTAACAGGACAGGGAGACTCAGGTCAATTAAAATGGGATTTGAATGAAAATGTCACCGTGCAAATGAACAGTATTCTGTGCATGAAAATTGCAGTTATTTCTGCACTTCCTGTAAAGCTCTGCCGATGCACCGCAGATTACTGGAAACAGAAAAATAGGAGAAATGCTGCTAATTTATAAGAATGCACATTTACATTTTAAGTTAGGTTAAAGCAAGTTGGACTTTAATTTAACTTGAACTTTCCTTTACATTATATGGATATATGGATCCTCTCTTCAGTAGACCTAAAAAGACTGAGGCAGCTAGCAGCTTAACAAGTATCCACTACAAGACTATACCAAATCAATGTTAACCTCTTTGATCAGTGCTAATTTTTCACATTAACCTTCTGTGGCCTGTTAGTGTCCAATTTTAACGTTTAGTTTCATCATCAGAACAAACGTTCTCCATGTGGGGTACTGAAATATGGTGAATCAAGTAAAGCTAGGATCATTGTCTTTGTCCTCCTATTTTCATAAAGTCTCTCAATAGCCAGCAGCAGAGTTCACAGGCGCTCAGCACAGCGCGGATGAAAGCTGGGAGCCGACCACAGAGCACATTCCGGCCGATATTAGGTGTTAAATTTAGACTGCTCTGCTTTGCCTCATGATAAGAGAGCAGCAGGGAAAATAAACGTCCAAACATCTCGCCGTGTCGACATGAGTGAAAATGTCACGTGCATACAGAGCAAGTTTTCCCCTCACGTCACTTTTTGGCCACTCATAATGTGATTGGTTACAGCTGCGAGGAGATAGCTTTATCACAGTACATGTGTGCTGCTCCTCCAGGTCACACTCATTACTGTGCTGAGGTACAAAGACAGGCAGGCAGGCAGGCATGGACAAAGGATGGGAGTGTAGTCAGAAATATGAATTTAAAATCATATAAAGTGTATGCCACAAGGATGAATATTTGGATCTGTCAAAGTGTGTGTGTGTGTGTGTTTAAATAAGCTACTATCATCAACTAGAAATGAAATGTCAGTGTTTATATGTATTTAAATCAATAAGCTGTTGAAAAACAATGGTCTATAATGTAAGCTTTTGTTGCCCTTTAATCCTTCACCATCACAAAAACAAAAAGGTATGAATGAGTAGTTAAAGTACTTTGAAAGTCAGTGGTCAAAGTATGATGGTTATGGTGCATTTAAAACATTTCTTAGAGTTAGTAGTAGTTAATGGTCAATCAGAAGAGAATGGAAGCATAAGCTGGTTTACTTTTGCATTTTTCACATTTGGCTTCACTTTTTATTGGCACTTTATTTGGCAATTTTAAAAAAGAAAATAGTGAAATGAATTTGTGCTACCCCTTTACAATATAAATGGAAAATATTTTTCGAAAAAGTTTTAACCTTTACATGAATGTATTTTTACACCTGTACTTTGATCGGCTAATGTACAAATTCAGCATTATATGTTCCTCATCATTACTTGAGGAAGATAATTCAGCACATTTTCCAACCCTGATTCTTACACATCCTTGTACCCAGTAGGACTGTGTATGGGTGCCTAGCCAGCCAGCCACTCAGGCATCCCCTCTGGGTGCCGATGCAAAAACAGAATTTCAGAATTAAAGGCTTTAGGGTAAAGGCCATCACATTCCACACTGAGTGAGTCCCCAGGGTGTATGTGACATTGAACTGCTGCCCTCTTTTGTTAAAAAAAACGTGGCCTGCTGGTCTTCCATATTTGACTCAGCCACAGTCGTAGAACCCTGCTGCCCACTTTCCAAATCCCCCCACCCCACAAGCACATACTACTGACCAGTGACGATTGAAGCTAAAAATATTTATGAATCACATCCAGCAAGGACCAACCCTGTCACTGAAATGGCCGATGCCTTTGGGGCCTCACTAGGTCAGAGGCTGGCAGGCTGAGTCCAAGAGGATGGACAATAAAAGAGAACCCAGTGCTGAAAAGACAGAGCCTTTTGAATGATTTCTCATACGTCTTTCATTCAGGCATCTATTTAACTTACACTTAATGTATTTAATTACGCTGCACTTTCATTTAATGTAACCCAGCACCTTGGCAGTGCGGATGAGGCTTTAAAGTCTGAGCATCAGTCTACATGAAGGGGCACTGAAGCCTTTATCAATCTCCTTGATAAATATGTCTGAGTCAGGTTATAGATTCAAAATGGTTCACATAAGCTCCATCACATTAATATCCACTGAAGGAAAGTTACCATGGCTTGAGCAAGATAAAATAATTTAAGGCTACTGGAGATAAATTACTTGTAAAACATGACTAAAAGTGGCAAACAAAAGTGTCGTGGCAACACTACTACTGACTGTGAATGTCAGGCAGGGGTATATAGTTTATAACAAGCTGGTCGGGCACAGGGCAACTTCATCATCTCCGGCAATGCCAAATAGAAACACTAAACCAGTGATACTGTATGCAGCCATCATTTATCAATTCTAATCCCTTTTAACAGCTGCTCCCAGAAGCAGACTACTCTCCAATGAGCACTTGTCAACTTCAAATTATAATCAGTAAAAAGATAAACACTGGAAACATAGCTGTGTATATGGACCAGGGACCTGACTATCTTGTTGCTGTCTTATGTTACCAAAAATAAACAGTTTTCTCATCCCTGTTGAGGTGTGTGGGGGGACAGGAGGTTATGGGCATGGAGGTGATGGCCTCCAGTTGTGCAAAGAGCTGAAGTTTAAAGCACAAGCCAACTTTTAAAGCCATAAAACCAATTGACAGTGTGGGAAGCCGAGGCTATATTGAGTTGAGCTGGTGTGCTGGTACAATATTTCTGCATGGTTTCTATAAACAAAAGAATTCCGCACCAAGGACACTGGATTAACCCTACTATAATGCCTTTTGGTCCCGGGGTTAAAATTAGATGCAGCGTCCATTCTAATCCCAACAGCGTCATCATGTGTTAGAAGCATCTGTTGACAGCTCGCATTCCGCGCGTATCAGTTGAGAGGCAGCAGTCTGGAGAGCCTCTGGAAGGCAGAGCTATTGTTAGCTGGTACCCACCGCATCCGTCCGTCAAGCCTCCCACCCTGGACCTGCGGGGTCATGCACTCAGCACGTAACTAGAACAACCTTCAAAATAAAACAAATGAAACTTCCGATGGGGGTGGCAAAAACATAAATTCATCGAGTCATACTTGCCTCTTCGTTGTTGTTTTTTTTTCCATTTTTCAGAGAGCTATAAAGCTAACTATAGTTGCTAACTTGGGCTAGGAAGACATACTAAAGTTGACGCCGTTGCTTCACTGTTTATATCTACTTTTATATTGTATGTGATTTGATGCCGCGGAGTTGGCTCCATGGTTGGCTCCCCTTCCAGAAACGTTAGAACGATTCATAACGGTTATGAACGGTTAACGTTACCGGAGAGGCGTCTTGTGCGTTTGCGCCTTCCCCTGCATGCTACACACACAAACAGGTAATTATAGAAGATAAATGTTTCATTAACTTGGCGTCCATGTTAAAACGAACAAAAATTGTGTCGTGTTTAATCAGCTTAACGCCCCTAAACACGTTAAGGTCGCCATGAAGTCTTTTATTTTGAAACTGTTAACCGGATATTCAGGTCTTGCGTGGTCTGCATGACGCTAGTCCCAACAGAGCTGTTTGAAACTTTCTGACACTGTAGAACATTAATGGCAGAGTAACCATTATACTCTCTAGCAATTTGAAATAAAAAAAACTTCCAATGTAATTCAGAACAACACAGTTTGATCATTTTTTCCTTTGCATCCATCTCACAGTCCGTAAATATAACTAGGAACAATCAATTTAGTTGTATTATTTTGAAACAGGAGCTTTTTTCTTACTTTCCTCTGCTGTTGTTCCCAGGCAGGGTCCAGCAGCATGTCCCTGTCCCAGTCATCTTCCTGCATCATGTACTCATCCTCGTAGCCGTTATCATAGTGCACCGTGGTCTCCACCTGGGTCATCATTATTGCGCCGTTACTTTCTGTTCCTCAACTCAACTGCGTGTTGTCCCTAACGAAGGACACCTGGATTAAATGTAATGCTGAGGAGGGGATAGTTTCCTGACTCTCTCTTCTCCGAGCTGCTGCTTCTTCTCAGTCTTACTTACTCACGCTTGCCCTTGTCCTCCCGACCTGACAGACGTCTGGCCCTGGTTGCCACAGATGTACAAGCGACGATAGAATTAGTACATAAGTGTCACGTGACGCCTTCATACCTTCCCCCAAAATCCCCATCGCACACACCCACACAAACTGCAGCAGGACAGTTTAATAGCTTGAGATCAATAAGACAGTCTTTATTGTAGAAAACAAAAAACAATTTCAGACTTTCATTTATGACAAAAAAAAAAACCCAACACAAAACGTGGCCTGGGACATATAAATTAAATGTTTCTTCCTTGGAAAACCCATATATTCTTACACTGAAAAACACTGGACACTGTAACAAACCCACTGGAATCATTCACTGTAAAAGACTGGGGATTTAAACAGTGTGGTGTGTCCAGTCCTCTCTTCCATTTCCTAATTGTTTATGTACTGATGTTCCTTTTTTCTCTCTCTTTTGCTAATTTAGTGACAGCTGGTGGTCATTTAGGTCCTTACACAACACTGGGACAATCAGGGTGAAGAATTTAAACCTATGAAATATAACACTAAATTCTATGCAATACTGGAATGTATGTAACTGTGTTTGTGTCCAGGTAAAAGTGTGACTATGCATTTGTAGAAACCATATGTTCAGGCATAACAAATCTAACTATATGTCAAAGTGCGCCTGTTGAAATGAGTAAAAAACAACAAAAATAACACCATGGTTTGAGGCAGACCAGCAAGGTGTGTACTGTGTGAGAATCTACAGCGTCGATGTAAAATAAGCCATGCATCAGTTCTGATTAGTTACACAACCTACAGGGAATAGCTTTTTCACTCAAAACCCCACCCTGGACTGTGGTCAGATTTTCCAGATTTCTTGGGGGGTAGGCAGTCTGACCATTTTCTTATATGCTGTGAGTTCTTTCATTCCTTCCACAGAGCAATTACTTTGGTTTTTGATTCAAAGTTATTGGAAGCGGAGACTGCTCCCACATGTAAATAAAGAAAAAGAGATTCAGTAGCAAGGAAAAGTCCCTCTGGAAGTTTGAGAAAAACAATACACTGTTTGGAGGCGGTGCATGTCATTTTAAAACATCCTTTCATATTGTGAAAAACCAAAGGCCCAAGTGCTCTGTCAATGAAATGTAAGGAATACAATGAAAAATGTGAACTGTGCCTCAAAAGCTTCAAACTGACTGGGAGGAAGCTGGTCCCCACAGTCACTGCTGAAGGAAGAACCTCACCACAGAGCTAGACATACAGAGTGCAAAGAAGAACACACAGGAGTGAAAAAGGCACAAGTGTGTAACAAAACCATTCAACAACCTTCAGAACATGTTTATCTGTCACAGCAATGCTAATATTGTCCAGGGACTCGACATTACCCCAAACAATCTCTGGGCTCAGAGCATAACAGCTGGGTGGAAAAGGAGTGTTTGTAGAGAGGGAGTGAGCTATTTGGGCCCCATGTATCCCCATATGTGTCATCTGGTATCTGCAGCAGTGTTCTTTGGCCCTGGGTGGTTCACAAGGAAGGGGAGAGAGGAGCAGGGTGGTCATCATGTGGTTTTCCTTTTTCCATCAATCATTCAGTTTCACTAAGGCCACAAGGTCGCCGCCACTCCTGGCCTCGTTCATGGATCCATTTGTTTGATACTAAAGACAGAAAGGAAAAAAAGATAATCATAACCTTTATCTGGCCATTTGATTACTTTACACACAGTACAAATGTTTACCCTTCTTGTCTTATAAACAGCATATGACACTGGGTTAAATTGCTCTTATGAATACTATGGTCTCATAAGAGACATTTACTGAGGTCTTTATAGGCAATCAGACAAAGAGGAGCTCACCCCACTTGTTGCCGACCAACACTGGACAAGCTGCATGTCGGGTGCTGTAGTCTCCTTCCCCGCTTGCAAACAGATTGTACCAGAACACGGCAGTGCCCTGGAATACACACAAACAACAGGCGAGAGGTTAACAGTGTTGCGAATCCTCCAGGAATAGCACATTCCCAAAGAAAGATTCTGAGAAGTGTATATTTCTTTTAATGACAGGAATAAATAAATAGGCAGGTGCTCATAGTACATTATGCTATTTCGCATGGAAATGTTATTTATTAGAGGATTGTGTTGTCTGTGAAAGGGATAGCGTGTGAATGACTGTAGTGAATGAGCCAACTAATTGCCACTGTTCCTCACTGAGTGGCAAAAACAACATGCACAGTATTTTGCACAATTTTATTTTGTTATTCAACTGTAGTGTGTGCTATGCTTCAAAACAAATAAAAAGAACCCAGGGAATTTGTTACAGCATTTAGCTGTCTATATAACATGACCAATTCAGACACAGCTACTGAGTCATAATAATGTACTGTAACAGATGGTGGAACATAAGCAGTTACCTTTTGGGGCCAAACTGCTGCACCAACATCTGGGAACACTGTGGCTCCACCAGCTGCTACATCACTCATCTACAACAGAGAGAAGAGAGGCAAAGAAAGTTCAGTTTTTATTTGTTGTATACAGTTATTCTGTAGTTCTACTATTTGTGGAAGCTCAGCGCCAAAATAACTACAGTAGTTACAATAAGGTTGATTCCAGGTTACAAAACACACATTTAATGCTTTCTGCATGGTTATAGTCTATTTGATAATTTGACTGTTTCACATATATATTGAAATTATTATTAATTAAATTATTATGTTGTGGCACTATTTACAGAAAATATCACTGGTAGTATTTTTTCTAGCACTAACATACATCTTATTGCATCAGCATTACAAGTCTTGCTTTAATTCAGATGTTAGTTTTGTGACAGCAAAAACTTTGCACGCTGGCAAAGCCCATAATCAGAGATGAAAAATAAACCTTGCTGTAATACCAGGGTGTTACCCTGGTAAGTAAAACCAGAGAAACCTTCTGGTGAGCCTTATTCACCCATTTCATACGTTCAGTTTATACGCAGCTTTTTTTAACCACAGTGACTAAATTTTACTCCACACCATGTGGGGTGAGAGTTCATGGCTCTGACTGGTTAAGGCCTCATTTTAATAAACCCACTGAGCCAGTATGGGTGTTTGTTGGTTTCTCATTTGAAAGACTCATTTATATTTTCTTTTGGTTTAAGTCATAGACTGTATATAAAAAGGGGGTTAGGGTTTAAGTATACTCCTCCACAAGGGGGCAGTAACATAATGATGATGGGTCACATCACACAATTGAGAAATAAAAAGACAGGTGTGTATGGTCTGTAGCCTTATAGTGTTTGGACCTTGGGAGATGCAATGCTCCTTACTGCAAAATATTATCATCTGGAGTTACACAATTAGGTGACACAAACCACTAGGCTAGATTCTAAATATTGCACTACTTCTAAGTACTAGCAAAGGAATCTACAATCGGCAATATACAACTGGAGCAAGACAGAAAAAGCAAGCTGCAAAGAAACAAAAACTAAACTAATTAGTATTGGACAAATTAGTCACAACACTTACCCTCAACTTTGTTAAGTTAAAACCTAATGAGATTCCTTCAGTCACTTCTAATAACTATCTACAAGAGTTCCCTGCCTTTTTACCAGTAATGCAGTTTTTTAGATTAGTAACGGCTGCATCGTGGGTTTTTTTTAGGCCGTACATGTGCTTCACTGTTAACAATGTACATCGTTGTAAATAAGGCATGTTTGATTGACTATTAGCATCTTATTACTGAAATGATCCTGCACGCTTGACCCATAGGCCCTAATCTTTCACATGATTTTACATAATTAGTTTTAAAGAGGATGCAAATCATTTATTTCACACGTTATGTCATATTTTCTGTTTTTGTTTGTTATTTGAAGCTTAATGATTCCTATAATGAGTGAACTATTTAAACCCATGATGCCATATGGCTGCACCATTACTTCATTTTATTTACATAGTTAATCATGAGATATTTAGAATCTTTGGATGTATTAAGATCTTGACTAGACTTTAAAACAATGTTCTGTGGGTTTGAGCACCATGCATTTGTGAAAATAGACCCACAAGTATTTCTGACACATTCAAGAGTTTAATATGGTTTGCACTCAGTGTAAGTTGAATTAAAAGTTTACAACATTGTTATTTAGGAAGAGTTTACTCACATAGAAGAGCCATGTTGCTACCCGGTTCCCAGTGCCCAGCTCTTTAAAGGCATCTGGCTCATCTTTCTGTGGAGGGAGAGTCACCATTCGGTTTAAAATCTTGCCATATATTACCACTATTGTACATTTATATAAATGACCTTGTGTGAATCACAAAGGGTCATACCCTTCCGAAATCAAAGTGAGGTTCGTATTGCCCTCCAACGCCGTAATTTGCAACCTACATAGATCAAAAAAATAAAATAAGTCAGGTTTCAACAGACTAACACACAAACAAACAGAGTGTTCCCGAGGGGCAGAGGGATTGTTAGAACACATGTTTACGTGTGTATTTAAAAAAATACGTTGATTCAATACGGTTTTGCCTTGTAAAAAAAATTAAATCAAAGAAGAAAAAAAATGGGTTGAATGTCCACAATGAACGCTTTACCTGCAGCTCTTCTGCAGTGTCCATTTCCAGCCCTGTGAGATCTTCAATTCTCTGGTTGATCTTGTCAATCATTGGATCTTCATAGCCAGTGAGCCAAGCACTGGAATGCAGCAGGGAAAGCAGAACAATTGAGATAGAAAAGGAACATGCTATGCAACATGTCAGTGAGACAAGAATTTGTCCACTAGATGGTAGTAAAGATTTCTTCTGAAATTGGCAACAAGAATAAGACATGTCATCCTGAAAGCATGCCATGACAAGCCCAAAAAGAAAAGGGGGGCATTGCACTTAGATGACAGAAAGAGAAAGTGGAGGTATGAAGAAAATGAAAAATTGGAAACCGGCCCAAGGTTCACAATCTCCAATCAGTTCAGGGTCCAGGGTTGTTGACTTTTAAACTGCGTGTGCACTTGAATGAATGTGGAAATTTCATACAATAGTCTGGTCCTTAACACTACATGCCTTTCATACTCACTCTCCCACTCCAGGAGAAAGCCCCTGATAAAATCAGCTCTTGATCAGCATGGAAACGCTTTCTTGTTGGACTAACCGACATGTGTATGTGAGAGAGATAGTATTGATAAGTCATATTTTTGAAGGGCTGCTGGACCAAATGTGAGCCAACTCATTTGTTTCCTGGTGTGTTGCAACCAGTTCATCTGAGTGCATCTGTATGACTGTTCCCCCTATCACTTGAAGTTCACTCAACTTGGAAATATATGCTTGCTAACACATACGCATATAAAAACATCAAACAGACTCCACACCCTGGCACCCACAGGCACACATACCCAAACATTAATACCAAGATCAGTAAAACCAAAGAAACCCGGGGGTTTTGGTGGCCTGCTACGCTTGCTATCTTTAGGGTGGGATGTAGGTTTAACTTACAATAGTCTATTTTATGTTTTTAAGCTCATGCATTCAGAATCAGGCCTTGGAAGTTTCTTAATCTCTCTTGTTGATATGGAGGTTGAAGAAGCACAGTAGAACTGCAGCAGCTCATACGAGAATGTGGTACAGAGTAGAGGGCTGCATTGGGATTGCGCGGTTTTAACTCTGCTGGGGGTGGGAGAGGGCGGTTAAAAAAAAATATACTGCAGGTCCCGGGATTTAGCTAGCGCTAATAAAATGGGGTCAACAAACGAGATTGAAAAGAAGATTAAAGCGGGCTTAAACAATACCAAAGCAAGGCTGAAATTTGGAAAACCTCTCGGTTGTTACGGACAAAAATTAATGCAATGATTTATGTAGGTTATTCTGAACATTTGTGGCCCAAACATTTGTGTCCTTTTTTGCATGTCACAATGTTTGCGGGTACGGGCGGGAGTGGAACACACATGTTGCGGGAGCGGGCGGTAATGGTCACAAAATCAGCGGGATCAAGAGAACAGTGAACAGTCATTCCTAGAAAGCGCAACGGGGGAATAGAGATTTAGTGCTCTAGATCTCAAATAACCTGCAAATTATGGTTGTGGGAAAGAAAACAACTTGTCACAATGATGCAGTTCCATGAAAATTCCTAGATCACTGGGTAAACGGAAAGAACAAAGAATATTTCAGCTACACCAAAAAACAACAGAGGATTGTTTAGTGTGGTTTAAACTATGTTTAGCTCATTTGGTGTTCTGGCAGAAATCTATTTAAGTTTCCAATTAAACCACATTAAAACCTCTGGTGTTAGTTTTCTAGGTGTAGCTAAACATTTTCATTTTTTCCACAGTGTTGACTTGGTGCAGGGCTGAATAAGTGTTTCAGCTAGGGCAAAGAGATAAAGATAAAGAGGAGGAGGAGTTGGGGAAGGCATTGTGGCCATCCTAGTAACCTGTGACCCCTTACCTCTTGGAGACTCTGTACTGGGCCGTGGTAAGTTTCCCAGTTTGAGGGTCATGCACCGTGGCTCGCCTTAGCTACAGAAGTTTCCGCAGCAGAAGGACACGGAGGTCGAAGCAAAGAAGATGGAAAGAGGAAGGAAAGATGGATGTTGGAATGTGATCCAAACAAGAAGACGAGAGGAAAGTAAGAGGAGGGAAGAGGGAGAGAAAAGAAAGGCAGATCTGGTCACTAGTTGTCAATGTTATTCTATGTTACATCTATTCTTATAAGAAGAGTGTTTCACAAGGCAATGATAGAAACCGAATATCCATATTAAATGAAGAAAATGTAGGAGTGGCTGATATACCTCCTGACTCACAAAGCAACTATGTTAATATCAACTACTAGAAAAAGTAACACACTTTCTCCCTTATCTATCTTATTGTGTTACCTTTCTGTAGCAGACTCCTGAGCGAAAACACATGCACAGCAGATCCTCAAAAGACAACAGCGCAAATTATTTGTTTTTCAAAAAATTAGCCACTAGTTTTATCTGTGTTGTTTAATTTTTGTGTCATTGGTGAAAGCACAATGAGATTTATGATTATAAAACATCCATAAATGTCTATCTATGCTGTACAAAGCTTTGATCATTCTCAGATGGATCCTGGGCTTCTGCTCAGGAGCCTTTAAACTTTGGAAGGGCGGAGAAACGGAGTTATACGGACGGACGGTTATACAGAGGAGAAATGGGATGAGTAACTGAGAGGAAAAGGAGGAGTACATCTCACATTCTTGCTCTCAGCTCTCTTCTCTATCCTCTGTTCTTGGCGGCTCCTGGCTATGCCTTACCTTTTGCTGATCCGGTACGGAGCTGTCTCTAGCACTCCTGTGATGGGGTTGGAGATGGTGGCCCTGCGTAGCTGTGAAGCCAGGGACATGATTTACCCACACACACACACACACACACACACATATATATACAAAGATGTGTGTGCCTGTGTGCTTGCCTAACTAGCAGAATGAAATCGGCCTCAGCGTCACAGCTTTGATCTCTCAACCCTCAACACAGTAAACCACATAACAGGAACTGAAAAAGCCAAACCAATGTTCCTACTAGAGCACAGTAAACTGTAAGGTTATCATTTTAGCATCATCCATGCATGACATTGCATCATGGGAGCACTGAAACTACTGAGCTTACTCGTGGCTTTGCCAGTTGCTTGATCCTTTCGATTTCTTTGTCGGAGATGATGTCAATGTAGCGAACAATGTAGGGGCGGTCCCACTCATCTTGCTGTTTTGCAGGTGACAGGAGTAAGACGGGGCTGTGATTGTTGTCGTAGTATCGACAGAACAGTCGGCTCTGCCTGCGAGGGGTCTGATTGAGAGAGAAGGAAATCAGGGAACAACGGATTTGAAACTGCAGTGTACTTGGTAAGTTAGAAGTTGTGTTTTTGCGCATCTCTTTCTCTTCCTCACCATTCTGATGCCCTCTCCACGACAAAGCATCTCATACTTCTTCCTCTCTGGGATCAACGGAATGGCGCCCTTCTTTTTAGGCTTTATCGTCTTTTCAGTTGTTTCTCTTTTCCCTCGCTCTTTCTGCTTTTGAGCTGCGTCCTCCTCAGTCTTTTTCTGCTTCTCCAACTGGAACTCAAAGTACTTCAGGTTTCCCTGGGCACGCTGATGCTCTGGGTCTGAAAATGGGAAAATGAGAGACCAACAGAAATAACAGCGGTGATTACAAACAGCGACGACTGCAAAGTCACCTAAGAATATCACAGCCCTGCAACCAATATAACTGTGCTTCCAACATGAAATAATTATATGCTATTTATTCAGTCTGACCTTATCCAGTTCTCAGAAACAAGATGAACAAACAGGACAAATTAATTCAGGGGCTCATTTGGAGGAACAACAAGGCACAGTGGTCTGTGTTTCAAGACAACGATGTGAAATGTATTTGTGTGTGGCACGGTACAGCCAATAGGTCATTTTACTTCTTACTAGTATTACACTGGACACCAACTTGTCAAAATGTTCCACTATTCCTGATAATCATAACCTTTCCTATCCCCACGGCACCAGGTTTCCCTGTACAGTCTAGAATTGACTCAATGAAAGTCACTGTGATTCCCAAAAGAGCAATAATAAAGCCCTCTTGTCCATCACCTTCTACTAACATTCCAACTTCTGTTTAGTGTGTCATTCAGTTCAAACCAAAGTGAATGTGCAGTTGCTGGCTTCTTAATTTATCCAACTTACTTGATGAAACAAAATAAAGTCTGGTGTCAAGGATGGACAAAAAAACAATAACAAAAGCACACTGATTCCTAATCAATCTGATGTTTATGTGATTTTATTTACCTTGAGCAGAGATTTTAGAATCCAAAGTGACAATATCATTTCACATTGCGAGACATGACTCCCAGTATACTTTCAAAATTGGGGAAGTTCTTAGTATAGCTGTGGGGGGACTCACCCAGTTCAAGCAGCCTCTTGGTGAACTCCAGGGCTCGCTCTATCTCCCCCTGCTGGTATATGGAGTAGCTGAGGTAGTCGAGTACTGTCACCTTATCTATAGTGGACTCCTCTCCCTCGTCAAGCTGTTTCAGGGCCTGGGCCATCCACAGCTCTGTGTGGTAGTAATCAACGTCAGAGTAGGCGATTTTCCCCAGCTCGTAACAGTCCTCCACTGTCATTAGGCTCTTGTGTTTCACTCCTAGTACGCAAAAGATACAGAAGGGGAACATCAGCGTAGAAGAAAAACTTCAACACGGTCTGTTTTTTACTGCGACTTTCACGGCATTATACGAATGTTCACTATGTGTGTTTATTTGAGTGCTTTCTGAAAAAAATAGGTCTTTGGAGTTACAAACTTTGTGCCAGGTAGATGTTGGGTGAACTGATTTAAGTTTTTTTTACCAGGTAGGTCTCCTGTTGAGATTGTGTTGGCATCCAGTCTGTAAGTGTCTTGTAACCGGATGAGAGCTTTAGCAGCCCCGGTCTGGTCCTCATCTGTGGGGAAGTACTGTCTCTGGATGGTCAGGTTGGAAATAAATCCTGAGAGAGATAGACAGGAAAGGACAGAGAAAAATACACTAGGATGATGATTATGTATGGGATACATAACTACACGTTGACACAAGTGGACAATAAATACTCTCCTAATTGTCAGCGAGACAGCTTGGAGTGACTTCGATCTTGAGTGATGAGAATAGTAGTTATATTAAGCCAGACATGCGAAAAGCATTAATGAGTAATGTTCTCTACTACCTCAATAACACGATAAGGGGGCTGAGTGAGGCACTTGATTGCTACTAAAATTTATCAAGTATGAATGAGCAGCATACTGCTGTAAAACAAACAAACACATAAAGCTTTCCCAGGACTAATTAGGGGCTTTTTTTTTTAAAGTCCTTTGCGTTGGTTTTTGGCAAGCAAGCAAAATACATCCCTGCACTCTGGATACACTCTCTTATACTAATTAGAATCAGTCGATCCCAAAATTTATATCCCAATTTCAGATAGTACTGGATGATCCTATTTCTGCTTATTATTGGGGCATCACTATCATGAAAAGCTAGATTCACTGCAGAAATATATACTAACCATACTCTGATAATTTGTGTATAATGTGATTTTCTTTACTTTTGGCACTTAACGTAGCATCTGGCAAACACAAGATATGATCAGCATAGTGCTAACTCAGTAAGTTATTATTTGAACCAGTTCTGCTTTATCCGTACCATCAGTTGTGTCTTTGAGTACAAGGCTCTCCAGGTCCCCCCACTCCGTGTTCAGCCTCTTCATCAGTTTGAAGGCATTGACAGGGTGCCCCAGGAATCCCTCTGGGTCTTGTATGGCTGTGGCTGACAATGAATCCAACTTATCAGCCCACCTATCACAAATATGGCAATAGAGAGTCAGATGCATTGCTTACACTTCCACAAGCAATAATACATGATTAATTATAAATATAAACAATTGTGTATACAGTTGCCTGCCTGACATTGTATGCTTGCGTACATGTATGCATATCTGTGTATGAATCCATGTGTATAACTTTGTGTCCACACACTCACCGTTTGACCTGCTCGAGCTTGTTCTCCTCCGCTCTGATGTAGTCCTTTAGAGAGATGACAAGGTCTTTTTCTGTGTATAACAGATCTGTCATCTGGCCTGAGGGATACAAATGAGAAATAAATCGCCATCAGTACACGCAATGACAAATTACAAAGGCTATCACATATTCTGTTTTCATTATGTGCATTAAAACATGAAAAGCTGGGACAAAATAATCAGTGAACAATTATTTACAACATGAGTACTATATGTTGCTTGATGGTTTTACCTATGGAGGTGAAGAAGTCATTGTGGGCTGAGAGCGCCTGCAGGCAGCTCAGCAACAATAAACACCAACACGGTAGCTCCATCCTGAAGAAAGAGAGAGAGAATTAGATATATTGTTCCACGCATTAACTTGAACATTGAATCATGCATATTAATCACAGAAATTACTTTGTGTTGTACTGCCATATACTGTAAATGATAAATGACACTAGGCAGAATATTTCTTTTCTATCTGCTGATATCTAGATTAACCTCTGCCAAGGCCACATTTCCAGCTGGATGTCAGGTAACCACATTAGACTTATTGCTACCAAAAGTGAGGGGCCTTGTTTCCCTGGTTAACCCTGCCCTCCAAATGACCATTCAGTGACTCCTGTCAAGGCTCTGTGCGACCCTAGACAACACTGTCAGGCTGTCAGTCGGACATCCCTAAAGTCAGACAGATGTTAGATGCTCCTTAGTCATTTACTGTCTGGGTTACTTGAGGCCACTCCCTGTTAGCCACATCAAACATTCCAGACTTTACAATTCATCCCGTTGTTCTAAACCTCCCCGATTTATCATATTGTTGCCTTCCTGTACTCCCTCCAGTGCTTCATCCATCTAAGACCGGATAATACATAGACAAACATTTTTATTCTGCAACAGAAAATAGTTCCCAGTGAAAACTGTTGGCAGCAAGTTGTCTGTCCAGAGTAACTGGGGTATTATTTCTGGAAGGATGTGTTGCTGTTGAATGAACAGCAGTAGTTACCTTAACCTTAAACTATCTGGTTACTGTGGTTGAACATTAATTAGGGCAAGTGCCAAAATGTGTTTTTTTGTGACTTGGGTGAACTGACAATTTAGGAAACGGAGACAAAAATGAAAATATATATTCAGACACAACAAAAGGTAGGATATAGCAAAAATGGAAATCAAAGCACTAACCAAAACTTGGAGATTCTCCTCAGTAGAGCCCGACCGATATGGGGTTTTAAGACAGATACTGACTTTGATATTTGGGGATATCGGCAGATTTGTTTTTCCCCTTCCAAACATGACTGAAGGATCTGTCTTCCATCTCTTCTATTTTTCTATTTAAATTGTCATTTATCAGCAATTAGCTCATATCTGCCAATAACATCGGCACACTGATTTATCGGTCAGGCTCTACTTCTCAGTCCTTTTAGTGCACCACCACAAAGCCAAATTTAAGTCTGTGGTTGCTGTCACTGTGTCCGGTTTGGTTTTGGAGTCGGCACAGCCATAACTACTACAGGGCTTCTGGTGTGTTACGAGTGCCACTGTGATCTTTCTACCAATACAGACAGAAATGAGGATACAGACAGAGTGGCAGGAAGAAAGGCAAATAGCAAGGAATGAATGTCAGTGAAACTGATCAACAGCAGAGGACATGCTAGGACAAAAACAGTTTTGTTACTGTACTAAAAGAAATTGTGTAATTTAAAAAAGACATCATGGCATACATGTGTGACATGTTTGCTTCTGTATCCTGACCTGTAACCAAGCGGGAAGCTTCCGGTCTACAATATGAAGCCGATGCGGAAGTCCCTGAAACCTGCATTCTATTGAAAATCCAGCAGGGGGCGACTCTTCTGGTTGCAAAAAGAAGTCCGGCTCCATTAGAAATAATGGGAAAATGATCCTACTTCTCAGCTGAATAATTATCCCAGTAAACACTTTCCTTATGAGTTTATGGTCTCAGTCGCAAGTTTCAAGTCTTATTCAATACAAAATGATGTTCATTTAGTAAATTATGGTGCCATTTATTTTAAAATAGACCACAAAGCAGAGTATGTTTCTGGGCGGGATTATTTATGATTGACAAGTCGTTACCATGGCGACCTGTCAATCAGGCTAGCGCCGACTCGTACCCACGGCACTGTGTCAATTTAACCAGCACCACTGAAAAAGCTTATTAGGAGTTGGCTGTTCACTTTCTCTGGCGAGTACATTTAGTTTTAAGACTGTTGTTCACTATACAAAGTTATCAGCCCTGTTAAAATGACAACGTGAATTACAGCTGCACCTAGCTAAGCAAGCGAGCTAGCTTCGCACACGGCTGTTAGCTCCGTCGTATCGTCACTTCCGGGCACTTCCTGGTTGCAAAAACTCGACATGGCGGTGCCCTATCAGCCAAACTTGAGGTTTCAAAACGGGTGACGTCACGATGACTACATTCATTTCTTATATACAGTCTATGCCTGTACCTTGATCTTTGACCAATGGTCTAACTTTCTACAAAACTTAATTTAAGTTTGTTGGCACATGTTTAAGATATCCTAATTAACCAACAAATGGGACTGAAAAAAACCCCCAAACCTTGCTCAACTTCTGTGCAGAGCACAATGCAACCGACAAAGGGAGTAGATGTGAAGTAAACCAAACCAACAGAACTACAATTTCACAAAATGATACAACACCAGTCTCAACCAGTCTCGTACTGTGTGTACGGACCTTTGTTTTGTTCTAACTTGGAGGGACGATAAGTTTGTTATCAATACAGCAGAGATTAGTAAACTGACAGCTGGATGGTTTATGTAGTTTATATACCCAACACAAGTGAGATAACAAGCCAAGCTCTTCTCTTGCTTCTTGAAAACACTGCCTTACTAGAGACAGAATTGTGACAAAAATGCACTTATGAGAAAGTCATTAAAAGACATATTCTTACAGTGTTTTGATGCCTTTGATTTGACTTAATTGTCTTAATTGCTTAATTTGAATAAGCAAATGTACTTAAGATAATATTTAAGGGTACTGTAAGTATGTCAATGACGTGAAGCTAAATTGGCTGTAAACTGTCAAACAAATACAGAAGCAGCCTCTAATTTAGTATCTTGCTGAAATCACACCGTAGATTAGAGCTGCAACAATTATTCTGATAATCGATTAATTGTTTAAGTCATCAATCAACCTCTGACTTTAGTAGAGAGAGAAAAGGTTACTCTGGGACATTAATATATGTTTAAGTCGTGTGGTGTTCACCTTACATGACTGATCTGTGACACACACACACACACACACTACAGGAGCTGACAGCAGCTGCGTCACCCGACGCTGGTCTCCAAACCACGTTCTGTCAAGAAAACACACGTGAAATATGAAACGGGAATTGAGCGATCCTGCACACGAAACAGCTGTTGATTGTTATTATAAAGATAACAGTTATAAAGACAAAGAATATGGGTGAAAGCATAGATTAGCACATGCAGGTAGCAGGGATTGTCTGAGCTACAGAGAGAGGGAGGGGAGTTAAAAGGTGCAGCTCCCAACACGAAGTTAACTCCTGACTGTGATGTTACAACTCACGGCCCAAAAAGAGAACAACAAACACACTTTTTCACATTTTCAGCTGAGGACTGCGGCTTACTTTGGCTAGCCTTCAACTCAACAATCAATCAAGATTTCAGCTAAATGCTAAAGTTGCTGTTAATGTTACCTTGTCTGTTGTCCGCTGGCAGAACACCTTTTTGTTCAGCTGCAGTCCTGCTGTTGCCAAGGCGACATAAGTTTCGTTTTACGGTGGACGGACTGTGGCACAGACAGAGTTGTTGTTTTCTTTAGCATGAAATAATAACATACTTTGGACACTTTCTTCTTTGTCCCTCGTCATTTTCTCTCTCTTCCTCCATTTTGCAAATGGCTACATTATAATCCTGACGTGTTGAAAGCGTAAGCGCGATGTGCGACAGTAATAAATGTGCGAAACACTGTGCTGTATTACATTACAGTTACATGGATTAAACGAAGCATCGATGCAAAGAATTTGTGTCAAAGCATTTTATTAATCGATTTTATCGATAAATCGTTTCAGCCCTATAATGGATAAACACAAGAGGTTTCAAGTACAATAATATCACTGTAAATATTGATTACATACACATTTGCACACATAGCACCCATGCTAACACGCACATAGACCTTCAGGATTGCTACGCACAAACATTTAAACACAAACACCCAGTGGTAAAGTAGAGGTCATGCATGAAAAGTGCATCTATGCAGATTTGTTATTCCTTTCACTGAAAGCAGATAACAGGCTCAGACAGGTTCTGATTTTGGACAAGCCTTCAGTGAAAATAAAAGAATGACTTCGTATGACATTTCTATGTCAGCAGCAGGCAGCGGAGAGGAAAGAAAATAAATCTGTCAGAGCTCTACGTATTGAGTAAGTGGTAGAAACTGCAAACTATTTCTGCTGCCTTTCCAGAATCTGTGGTGTCCAAGATACCATAACATGCATCGGGCACTTAGATTTCCAGGATAAAAACTAAGTAGAGTGTAATTACTGTAATGACAGGGTGACAGCTACTCTGCCTCTCTTGTTATACCATTGTAGAAAGAAGTGTGATGTCAAGATTAAAGCTGTAAATGTAACAGTTATAATTTATATCTATGTGACAATGCCACACATGTGAGTCAGTGGTAGTGAGAGTGGTTGTGAGCATACATATGTGTGAGGACTCCAAAACATTCATGTATTACCATTTAACCTGCCAGACACTTGTGAAGCTATTTAACAGCTTATAGAAAACTATTTTGCATAAAAACCTCTCAAACTATGTGCAAATTGGGCTGCAATTTCTTCAGACATGTTGGATCCACACTCATTAAGTGCTACCCTGATAGATAATAAGTTGTGATGCTTTATTACATTTTTAATTTACAGATTTACTGTTTTCCTGTCAATTCTACTTTGCCTAGATTGACTTTGAAAAAAAAAAAAAAAAAACAAGAGACCAGGACTGAACAAGTTACTTTCAGCTGTGGAAATGTCATAATGCAGTATCCACAGAGAACATTTAGCCTCCAGTGAGTGAACATTACAAGGCAAAGAACCATTAACAACATTTTATCTTCATAAACAAAATTAATATATGGTTTATCATGACATTTCTATACAAAAAGATCCAAGTTTGTTAGCCCTACAGGGTCCACCCTAAAGGGAGTTCCCATCTCCCACAGAAAACACTACTCTGAACTGACAGAAAATGGCTCGTTTGTAGTCCAGCCGTTTCCCTTTCATCCATGTGACGACACATGGATAAAAGCAAAACGGGGGTCATAATTCTCACCAAGCGGCTAGTCCGACACGCCCTCAAAAACACCAGTGGAAAAACACTGAGCTGCAGCACACACCTTTAGGCGCCTGACAACTCACCTCATTACCTGTGCGCCCACATCGCAAAAGGTCGGGAGCTACATGACCAGTCTTGTAGTAGGCCTATAAGATAGCCACAACCTAAAATAAGTAGCCTATGTTCATATCAAAATTTAGTATTTCAAAATCCCTACCAATCTGTTCATAATATTCAGCCTCACATAAGAAAAATGAAACCCATTTATTTTAACTGCTGCGTCAGGCTATGTGAAACGGACTGGGAGCAAATAAAAAATATTAAACACATTTCAAAGCAGTAAGTAGGCTTACTGTAAAAACCTGTAGGCCTACAATAGCCTAAGGCAGTCTCTGTAGGACAATATCACTTTTGCCTACAAGAGTTTCTCCACATCACCACAGGAAACATAAAGCAACCTATAAAACAGTCTGTGGGATGTCCTACAGGTGGTGATGTCATTTTCCAAGAGAGCTGATTAGTCAGTGGGCGGCGTTTTAATAAGAATCTGGAACATAACCTGTTCCGGAGTAGGTTAGCCGTTCAACGTAAGTTACCATGCCGATCTGGCCCTTAAGAAGTGAACCACCGTCGTGGTACTGAAAACCCAGGGTTAATCCCAAAGTTACCTTCATAAGATCAAATGCGGCTTTGTGTTACAGGCCCCTGGTAAGGGGAACATATACAGCTAAACCGAAGCCGTGTTTACCGGTGTTCTGACAATATATGCTGCCTTGTCGAAAAATGCTACTGTAGCGCAAATCGATAGCAGAGTCTATCCAGTCGCTCTGCCATATCGAAAAATGCTACCTTATGTGTTCCCTTTTCTAATCCCATAAAGTTATAACTCTCACAGTATTATGACATCTTCTGTTTTTTGATTATATTATCTCATTATTTCAGGGGTAGCATATTCTGATTAATATCCCCTATCAAATAATGCTCCCACTACAGAATCATTTTATATTGCACCCTTACTCACTCCATGTGTACTGTAAGGAGATGGGGGAGCATGTTGAAATACTATATTATGCCATCTTTATTTAAGATATCAAGGGTAGCTATTCACATTCTGACTAATGATTGTTTTTTTATATTGCTGATGATCAGCCACTGTCTCGACGGCATGCCAAACAGCAAGGTTGCACAGATTTATGGGCGTGGAAACAGACCACGGTTGTGTGTCATACGCAGAATCGCTAAGGAGCACATCTCAATAGGTAGCATAAATCGACGGAACACCGGCTTCCTACGACCCGCCCTTCTCTGCTTCTGAAAATGGCTAGTAGTCCTTAACTAGGAACTGCGCATGTGTGACGCATGTGCGACAAAAAAGATCATGTAGAGGCAAGATGTATCACTCCATAGCTAAAACGTAGCCTTCAACACAGTGTGAAAAGAGGAGCTGCAGCAATGTGCAGTATAACAAAAAATATGGTGTTTTATGAAAATGAAACCATGTAAACCTGTTGTTCTGGTACAACCCCTAAAAAAATGATGAACATGAAAATGAGCATAATATGACCTCTTTTAAACAAATAGTGAGATCACTCCTCTCCGTCTGAGTGGTATTCTAGCAGATTCTTCTTGCTAAGAAAATGCCTTTAGCAGTTCACAAATGTCCTCTCGAAGTTTTACTGGGAGTGAAGCGGCGGAGTCAGATAACAGGATGTGGATGGAAGAGGACTGCCACGTCCTCGCCCCTCCCCGCCGGGGAAACTCATGTGAGGACAGCACACTGTCCAATGGAGTCTGACTCATTTTACCTGCAATAACCCCCTAGTAACCCTTGCAAACTGTCTGACAACAGGGGGGATTTTCATTTGTGGAAGCCATTTGGTGCCGTTTGTTTACTCCCAACCTAGTTCAACGTTAGATAATTAACTTGGCTAATCAACAAGACTTTAACGTAAAAATACATTTTGCAGTGAATATTAGCGTTTATCCCCAAGGGTTCACTGCAGTGTACAATAGGACAGACTGTGTGACTTGTAATTTACAGAATGTTTTAACAAATAAAACCCGTGTATACTGTGCTGTTACGGAGTGCATGCAACAGTGAAGGCAGCAGCATCCCACGCTGCATTGCACTGGAATGCCAGAACACTGACGCTAGTTTGAGAGGAAAAACTCTTGGCTTGGTTTCCCTTTCTCGCTATTTTCGACTTACTTTAACAGACTTTGGTTAATTTGTACTTATATTAATCGGTTCCGCCTTTTCATATTATTTGATCCATCACATCTATCAAAGTTTCATCCAGGTTAGCTAGTTTTCAGCTAGCTTAGTTAGCTAACTTAACGTAACGTTAACGTTACCTATCTTAAAACTAACGTTAATGGAATGTTGGAGTAATAAAAGTTCGTAGTGTTTAACTGTCGCAACTGAAAACAGTTCAGGTGAAAAGGACAGTCCTTAGCTGTAGGATGACATGGAAACTACCTGAAAAGACTACACAGTTAGTAGATAGACTAGCTTTTGCCATCTCATCTGATTCAGGAGTCAATATTTACCTTAACGAGAGCATCCTGTCGCAGAAATGTGTCCCAGGTCGGGTCCTGCGAAGTCTCAACACAAGCCGACTCAGTGCAGTTAACGGTGAGAAGGTGAACACGGAGTCTGTCCGGTGAGTCCTCCTATCTGTGATGCTGGCTGTGATCTGGTAGTTAGGACTGGATCTCTAAAAAGAGTCTGAATGCTACGTGCAGATTCTCACATGCATACCGCCTCCTGCTAGTAGATACTTGGGGGCTGTCGTTTGTAAATTTCTAGGGGAGGTGTCTTGACCCGTGGCGAGACAGAAATGGATGAGTATTTTGGGGTTTTAAAGTTTAGAAAAATGTGCGTGAACCAGCTTCTGCCACGTGTTGAAATTGTGCTGTAAAACTCAGATTCTTCTGTGTATCTCATAAATGACACACTTTTATTAGTATATTATTATATTTTCAACGACATAAAGCTCTGTGTAGTTTTGAAAACTTTAACTTGGACAAAGAACAATTTCATCATTTTCACCTGCAGCTTCCTCTTCCTATTTCTACCCCATTCCAGAAAATTCCTCCCTCCCATCCACAAAAAAAGTGTGACTGGAGGGAGGGAATTCCTGCTGCATGCTACTGAGTTCAACAGTGTGTAGTGTATGTGTGTAAGTGTGTGTGTGTGTGTGTGTGAGAGCGAGCGAGAGAAGCAAACTGCAATATTGCCAGATGCAACACATCTCAACTAGCTAAGTCTCAATGGCATGCCCTATGTAAACACTACAGCCTGTATATGTTTGTGATGAAACACTAGGTTTATAAGTAATTTTCCACATACATGACTCAACGTATCAGAACATCATTTGTCTCATGGAATAAAATTTAAGAAAAGCAGACTTTCTAATGTAAAACTTTATAAATACACTTTATTAATGTATATGTTCTATTAACTATCACCAAGCAAAATGTCATCACAGGGAATATGTTGCAGGCAGAGGTGACAAAATGATCTTAACATCTGTATGATTATCATTGTTATTGAGGCATATCACAAGAAACACTGTGTGCGGGCTGAAGATGAATGTCAAACTTGTGGGGGAAATACTCATATCCAGTCTTTGAGAGTTATAGTACAAAATCCTCCTCTGCTCAGTCTCAGCTTATTTGACACTTTCTCTCAATGTGAATGTTGTAGGAAAAAAAACATACAATGTATCTTCCTTTCCATTCCCATTTTTATTCCAGTCATCGGCGGATGTCGTCCAGGGAGGTGAGTCTGCTCCCAAATAGCTGCTCCTCATAGGTCAGCAGCTGACGCAGGAAGTTCACGTTGGGTGCTGTGCATGCCCTCCTCTCTTTCAACCAGCGCAGGGCATGAAGCAGTGACCAGCGTCGATGCTCCATGAGGAAGGCCAGCGTTAGTGCTGAGCTGCGACTCCTGCCCAGACTACAGTGGACCAAAACGCGGCCGGCAGGCTCAGCCTTCAGCGCCATGTTGATAAACCTGGATGCCAGCGGCAGTGCCTCCACCAGGTCCTGCTGGGCATCATCGCTCAGACGCAGCCTCAGGTAGCACAACATGTTGGGGAAAGCATCAGGGCAGTTCGCAGTGGCATTGACCACATGTGTGATGTGTAGGTTCTTGATGATGCGGTAGTCAGAGGCATGGGAGGCAGACCCTTGGTAGAGAGCTCCTTCCAGGATCTCTGAGGGGTAGATGGTGAGAGTGTGCCGCTCAGGTTCCAGCAGGACCATACGTTGTGTGCAGAGGAAAGGGTAGAGGGCGTGGAAGGCTGAGAATCCCCCCAGCAGGATGACAGGGTCCATTCCCAAAGCACTGAGCTGGAAGAAACAGCGCTGGAGGTCTGGGGAGTCTGCCCTGGCCCTCACACTGCCCACTGAAATAAGCACAGACACACAGAGAAACAATCACAGTGACAGAACACAGACAGTGAGAAGAAATCAATACAGACAGCCAGGTAGATTTCAACAAGACTAAGTCTACAGGCATGCTAGTGGCTAGGTGAGGCTGTACTTAGGAACAGTGGTGCTTTGGGCAAAATGCTAATGTCAACATGCTAACATAAGCAGATATTATGTTTACCATGTTTACTGTCATAGCTTAGCGTGTTAGCATGGTAACATTGCAAATTAGCATAGAGTTCAGGTTCTCATAGGAATGTCATTAGTTTTACAAGTATTTGATCATAACACAAAATTTTGGTAGAGTAAAAGTCAGAGGATCACCAACATCACTAGGATTTATCCTCTGGGACCATGAAAGTTAGAAGAAAATGCCATGGCAATCTATCAAATAGTTGTTGATATGTTTCGCTGTCAGCCAAAGTGGTGGAACAATCAACCAACCAGCCAACAAACTGAGATTGCTATCCATAGAACCGTGCCACTAGCAAAAGTGGTTATGCTGGATTAGTGATAACTAACAAGTACATAAGTGTATTTGTGTGTATCCTCAGAGCTTAATGTGGATCACTGACCTGGGCTGCATCCTTCCTCTGCGTACAGCAGTATTATAGAATACTTCTGCAGCTCTATACAGCTGATCAGACAGCCCAGTTCAGGGTGGATCACCGTCACAGCGGCCCGTGCTGTCACCACGTGACTCTCCTTGTACCTGTACACACACATTCATTCATAATATGCACGCACATATTGATTATGTATCACAACTACAACCTCCACTTTACACAGTGTTCTTCTAAAGTTTTTCTTAAAGACAAAGGCAATATTCTATATTTCCATGAAAAGACTAAAACCATCAGTGTGTTACTTTCACTAGCCTGTATGTGGCCCAGATCCCATTTGTTCCTCCTCAATATGTACATCTTTAAACATGGGCCACGATTATACGCTATATTTTATTTTTTTAAAGGCTAAATTATTTCCTGAAACAGCTGGGCAGTGTTGTTTTTAGCAAACGTTACTCAAACAGGAGTCAATAGCACATTTGCTGGGGACTATTTTTGGCAGTGTATTAATATACATTTGGTTTTCTAGTGAGTATCTCTGGCAGCAGGATGGTGTATTCAAATATAAACTACAGTCTGTGTTTATCTTAATGAAGGAACATGTTACCATGTTAGTCAAAAGTGCATAAAAGCTTTGCTCATTGATGTGTTTCTAACAGCGGGAAGCCATAGTGGAGTCATATGGCACAGAGGAATAAGTTACAGCATATCAGGCTTTGAATATACAGAAAATATTTGTCCGTTTCATTTGTTTACAATCAAAGAATATCACCAAACTTATTCTTTAAATTGGTAAATTTCTCCAAGAACTGTGCCTCAGGTGACTACATCAGTAGAGGCCCCCTTATGGCTAAAAAGAGAACTAACCTTCCAGTATCTGTACATTTGTATCCAAACAAAAAACAGACTCCTGCAGTGCATGCTGCCTCTGTGTGACTCAAAGCTTTTGAGACCAGATTGTGCTATTGATGGATTACATTTTGCTGTACAATTGTTGCATTTCATAAATACATTACAGTATATGACAAAGCTTCTGCATCTGAAGACCGCTGGTGTGAATGTGCAGCACCCACCTCTCTGCGCTGCGACAGTCCAGGAGGAGAATATAGTAAGGATCATACAAGGCGGGCTGGCCTTCCTCTGCGTTCAGCAGGTTGTACACTTGCTGTGGGGTGATGTAGCCTCGCTCCACACAAGCTGTTTCTGGAAGAGCAGGGACTAGCGCCTCCTCTGGCTCACACACTGCTTGCAGGCAGAAGAAATACAAAGAGTACAGTGTGTCTGCATGTGTGTAGTTGTGTGTGCATACATTTTTTGTGTGGAAAGGCAGAGAGAGTTAGAAGCAAAAACAAGTACATGCTTTACCTTTGTTCCCAATAGGTATGATGGAGGAATGATCACTGTCTATACTATTCACCTCTCTGACACAGATGCTGCTCACTGTTTGGGATGTGTTGACAGGCTCTCTGGAGGCCACTCTACAACTGTTATTCACTCTGACACGAACACAGAGACTCATACACACAGAGAAGTGCAATCTCAAGAAAGTAATACAGCAACATTATAAGAGACTAAACAATGTTCAACATTCTGTGTTTTTGCAGGTAAAAAAACAAACAAACAGCAAAGCTCTTTACCTGGACAGTACAACGCCCATCTCTTTTAAGTCATTTGGCAGATGCATCAGCTGTTCCAACCAGCCCTTCATTAGAAGAACATGCTACACACCAAAAAACAAAGAGGTCATTTTAAAAAGCGTTGAAAAATATTCTCTCAAAAAGCCCAACATGAAGCAACGAGGTAAAAAGATTGAAAAAACCCACTATGCACTATTTGTTGTAGCTGTGATTCGTACTCAGCCTCGCTTCAGCCTTGCCCTTAATTTAGCTGGTGGTCTTGGAAACACAGTAACGGTTAAGTGCACTAGAGGGCCACATGGTAGCTGGCTGTGACAGGTGACGGAGGAGAGACCTGGATAGGAGTCCTACTTCACCCAAATTAACATGGCATTTTGGTCAGGACAAGGTTTCAGGTTTCTCTTAAAACCATGCAAAGATTAGGGCAGTATTTAAATAACAGAAAGAACAGATAAGGGAGGATACATAAAAGTACATATAGTAGCCTACATGAAGACATTGATCTGATAAATCATCGCTTGCTTTTAATCAGAAAGGATTAGGGCAGAATGGGTAAATCAGCTAAAGACAAAACAAGATTATGTTAGCAGAGAATATGCAATAAAATCCACAAACTTGCAAAAGACTTTATACTATCTCTGAAACATTATAAAGAATGTAACAATAACTAAGCTATGTATCCTCCACATTGACACAAAATATTTTAACTTCATTCAACAAAATGTATTTCAAATACAGTAAGTTTTGAATCTCCTTGTATATTTTGCTGTGCCCCACAGTTGTCACTCTCAGCCATGTCATCACCCCTCCTCCACTTTCACGTCACTTATTGACTTTCCTTTGGTCACAGCTTCTCCACCCCTTACCCCCTCACTTCACTATAATTCACAAAACAGCAACATAAGAGCACTAGACGAAGTAGATAAGAAATAAAATGTATGTGTAGGGCATTGGAAAGGGGACAAGGCATCTCAAATTCAATGTAATATTGAGGCTTCAGCAGTCTAAATTAGACAAATCAAGTGGATATCTTTTTATGTGCCAAATTCCATTATCAAAATGGTGCCGCAGTTGGCTGCCTCAGTGTTGTGCTCTCTGGCACTGTTTCACACTTGGAACGTTTTGCAGAGATTTTAGATGGAGGAGCAGCGGCTCTCTGTGGGGCAGTGGGGGATTTCAAACTGTACTCCCGTCAAAACATGTGGAGAATGTCCGCTCTCTGGCTAAGCAAATGGATGAACTGCTGCTTCTTAACAGAGCAAACACGGAAGATCTGCGTTGTTTATATTTAATATACACATCAAAATTTTCACCTACTTGTATGTACATAATAGTTAAATGCTTATGTTTACCTATCTTTGTTCAGCTCTGTTGTCCTTGTTTTTAGCTGTCTGCCTATTTTTATGAATCTTACTGTAACTTGTTCTTGGAACTGTGTGTAAGTATACTGAGAACAGCAAAATCAGCAGGGATAAATTTCTTGTATATGTACACATACTTGACAAATGAAGCTGACTCTTATTCTGGCTCTGAAATTCTCTCAGACTGTCCTTTCTACATTTTGTAGTAAAAAAACAAACTTACCCACCTGAGTTGACTGACTCAACTGCTGAAACCTCATGTTAGCTTCAGCTGAACTTGAAAAAACATTTTTGAATGAAAAGAGGACTAGATTTTGCTCCCATCACTTACACTGGAATGGTATCAGGAAGCAGTCACATGATGGTCAGCGTGGACAGAAGAACAACTGCAGAGACCAAAAAACTCTTAATGAACATGTTGACATGTTATTTTTAAGATACACTTTTTGAAAAGGGGAAGCTCTCCTTTAATCTGTATAAAATAAATGTAGTGGAGTAGAAGTTTTTAGTTGGGGGAAAATGTAAATATGGGAAAGTGGATGCATTGTTTTTTAATTGTGCATGCACAGGTGGACAGGCTTCCATGACATTATGACCGTGAGTATTTATTAGACAAATCATTTTAATCTTAAAGTACTTTAAAAACATTTTACTTATATCACAGATATTCTGGAAAATAGCTGTTTTCTTTTCTTATTATTATATATAATTCCTACAAACATGCATCCAAAGCTTTGTGAGACCAGAAGGTAATGTGTCTACACATGGGATGATGACTGCCACCTGTTCCTGAGAGAGTTTATTGCTAACAACACACTTTGTGAAAGGTCAGTGAAGAATATGTGCACACCCATCAATCTACACGTCATTCATGTCAGTGCACTCATGTATGTACACAATATTTAGGTATATCAGTGTACACACATTATCAGTCCCTATCCTCCATTTTATTGTTGGTGGTTTTTTTTTACTTTACTTTTACTTTCACTCAGCCTAAATGACACACAGAGCCATAACAGAAAGCCCTCTGCATCTTACAGGCTTGTAGCTATAGCAGGCCTAGTCCGGATCAATCAGAGGCCCCCATACAGGAGTCTGTTTGGTTAAGCAGACCCTCTCCCATGCAGCCATGTGGCTGATGGACTGTGCAAAGCTGGGGAAGAACAGTCAGGAATGTCACAAACAGGTGCCAACAACAAACAGAGACTCTAATCTCTAAGCAGTGGATTCATCATTAACAATAATAATCAATTAGTCTATAGATACACATGATAAGACCATAGGTCAGTTTCGTTTTATGAGGCTGATATTTCGCATTATGTTAACATTATGTGTAATAAAATGTGCCAGCAAACAGAGATCCTAATGGATTCCACAGATTCTGTTCTGTTTCTGTGTATCTTGACGAAACAGATTTTTAATGACTGCCAACCCAGATTGATTCTTCAATTAAGCCTATAGGGAGACAAACAGACCAGGACCAAAGTCCATCTGGACAAAGTGAGAAAGCAAATGAGGTGAATAACGGCAGCAGGGAGAGCAGTAGGAGAGCGGCTCATTCAGCTGAGCGTTAGGAGAGACACGTTACTAATGTTATTTTAAACGGGTTTTTATTGGTAAGAGTGTGTTTCCTTTACAGCCACGCAGAGGGAACGATTGGAGTATGAAGATGAAACATGAAGGATTTCAGATGGTGAGCAAAGTTTCTCTCTCTTGCCATGTTTCCTGCTTTTATCAGATAAAAGGTGCACAATAGTATAGAATAGGCTAGATCTAAATGTTTTTGTGTTTATTTTTTTCAGTGGGCTAAATAGCTTTAGCCTGTTTCTTATTAAAGCAGCATAGCCTACAGTCTTACAAGCGTTGAAGCAAATATATGTATTATTCCTTAGTCTAGCCTGTATGTCTTTTCCGATGTTATTATTAAGCTGCGAGAATTAGTAGGTCTATACGCATAACTTCTATACAGTAGGCTGTGTTACCCCATGTAACTTTGAAAAATTGAATTTTGCTTGTGATTTTTGCGTAGCCTACTTCTAAAAATGTCTTCCAACTTTTTGTAAATTTTTGTAAAAAATAAATAAATAACAAGTAAGATCATTCTTTTACCAATATAACTTACCGTAATGCCAATACCTCTTTGATTCTGTACATTTCGAAAAAGATCTATTTACACAAGATTCTAAAATAATATCTTCCCTGACCCATAACTAACTAGGTTTAAATCAAGAGATGTAGAGGTGAAATGTGGCTTGCAGCTTGGCAAAACCGACGCATTGTGGAAATAAGTCCTGAATATGAGACACGTTGTTGTCAAAATAGTTTTAAAGATCACTGGTAGCATTTGGCACAGCAATAAATAAAGTTATAGCCATGTGAATTTCTCTTCCCCCCACAACGACTTCAGGCAACAGATCCCTGCACTCCAAGCAGCAACCTCTGCACAGAATGACAGCAGGCCTTTTAGGTAAAAGGTAATCCTTTTGCAAATTACATATCATTTCTGTTATTCTGGGAACCAGGAAAATATACAGTATAGCCAAACTTTATTTGTATACTTATAGAGTATGATTCATTACAGCAAATATGTAAACCTGTTCATTCATGAGAGCTATCAGCCTCCAGTTAAGCATTATAAAATATTGAGCTCAGCATTAAAGGACCTGCTATTTGGAGGATTGCTCAGCTTGGTTTCCTGGCCTAGTAAAGTTGGCTTTTGTTAATTAAGCTAAGAATTCCATTCTGACCAACAGCTGTGTTAAAAAAAGCATTGTTATTGTAGGATTTATGTCTTGTCCTTTGTGCAGTTCCGGGAGGTGGCGGAGAGGATGGTGTGCCTCAGCGACAAAGAGGTTTTCATCTAATCATGCACTGAAGGCTCTGGTTCCCACCCTCTGCCTGGTGGTGGTGGTGATATATGGCTTGGCTGACAAACTCAGAAACTTTGTGGCCGGCATCTTCATCCCTCAGTATCACTACCCGTATGCAGTGGCTCTCTGCTTTGCCCAGGTTGGTGCCAATCTCCAAATTACCTTGTTTAGCAAAAATCTTGAAATTTCTGGTAAATTACCAACTCAAGACATTTCTTTCATTGATAGAAAAGCTTGTGGTTGGTTCGAAAATTATTTGTTTGAGAGATTTCAGTGTGTGAAGTCCAGTCTGAGTTCTTGCCGATAACAAAAGTGGTTCTGCAAGGCTCAATTTTGGGTCCTGTCCTCTTCACCATTTATTGAAATGATCTGTCTCTTCAATGAGCAGTTGTCAAGTCCATCTTTATGATGATGACGCTATTGCATACTGTATTCCTGATTCTGTACAACTAGCCACTGAGAACCTACAACTGGAAAAAAAAAATAATACATTTGTTCTGTTTACTAGAGATAGGGAAATATTGATTATAGCATATATCCACTGCAAACTGATCTGACATAGAAATAGTTACTGAATATAAATATCTTGAGATTTTGGAGATTTAATTTATAAAAATGCTGCTCCTTCCAATCATAAAAGCTGTGGAAAAGATCTATCATTGTGCCCTTAGATTTGTACATTGTGTCCTGTATGATATGATGGGTTGGTTGTCTCTGGCAGAGAGGCATAATAAACATAGGTATTTGTTTATCTATCTAAGTCCATATTTTCACACCTCAGTGATACTGTACTGGAACTTTGGACCCCATCTACCATGGGCTGAATTTGGAAAGTCAACATTTCATTTTAGTGCCCCAAATTCCTGGAATGATCTTCAAAGCACGTTAAAAATTAACACTTTACCAACCTATGGGCAATTTAAAACTATGATAACAAAGCTCCTTGCCTCAGTGTGCAACTGTTGGAACTCATTTTTCTTTATTCTTATCTGTGACAGCACTGCACACATGGGCTTACCTGCTGTTTAGTTTACACAAAGTATTGTACGCTGTGAGAGCATACTATTTGCTTATGCTGCTTTTATAGTCTGTCTATAATCTCTGTCAAAACATAGGCACATATCATAGAACAAGTAATAATTATAGTTATATATATAATTATAATAATTATATAAATAATTATTAGTAATACTACTAATAATATTGTGTTGTGTAAAACAAAGCAGGGTCTTTTGCAGTTCTTTAAATGTTTAATTATTTTATCGGATTGTCATTGGTCCAGTCAAGTGTCGGCTGCTGGCTGTTCAGCTCTGTCAGTATTTGTTGTGTGTGTGTGTGTGTGTGTGTGTGTGCTAGTTTGAAGGACAGGGTGTGAGGTAGGTGTTAGAGGTGGTGGTGGTGGGGAGTGACAGAAAGAGTTCAGTGTTGATAGTTCATGATAGATGTTTAACTACATAGCTGACATGTAAATGTGACTTTGTCCAAAGGTTGAAACTAGCAAATGGCTGAGCTTTGTGAATTATATCACATAAGTGTACAGGTTGACTTTTATTGACTTGACTTTTGATTTAATGTGGGCGTTGTATGTAAATGTATTGGATTATGATGATTTCTGACATTTCTGACACTCTGACTTTTTACATTGCACTATGGTAAACATCAAGTGGCAAGGCAAAACACACCTGCAATTTACAAGTTCTGAGACACTTGAAGGGGCTGAATGACTGAATGACATTAGTTTAGATTAGTAGATTATAGATTAGAACACTGCTTTTAGTCAACAGGTTAAAGTTGCATTTGTCCACATGGCATATTATTTGTATTATTTCACAGTAGTTGGATGGGTAGATGCTATGTCACATTTACACGTCCTGGATCTTTGCCCTCTATTTGTGTTTACTTTGGTTCAGAACAATATATCACAAAATGTGTATCATCTTCTCCAAGCCAGGTTTTTTAAATAGTTAATAATAAAAAAATGTATTGTTCCCTTTAACAAATTTGCCTTCAGCTTCAAAAGGCTGTAAAGTCTCAATATAATAAAACATGATAAATTGCTAAACTTACAGAAAATATAGCACAATGACATAGTTCAAAATTACAACCAAATCTAGGATTAGGATTAGGATTAGGAAATTAGGATTAATAAATTTGAGCCTATTTAGCCTAAAAAAATTTAAGTTAATAGTGGAGTATGTCTATCACAATTTCCCAGAGCACAAAGTAATGTCTTCAAATTGCCTGTGTTCAATTTATAGTAAAAGAGAAACTGGAACCTGCTATACTTTGGTATAATGAATGTCCCTCACCCACATGAGTTGTAGCGACTGATATAGTTCGTTTGTCAAACTCCCAGTTAGCATCAGATCAGCCTCACATAAGCGTGTCAAAAATGCTTCTGCTCTCTATTTGAATTTGATGTATACTATAGCTCTTTATAGTGACTTTGTCTTTTCCAGGTTCTGGTTACTCTCTTAGTCTTAAATCTCCTCCACATCCTGGACCTGGTGCCTCTGAAGCCCTACTCCAGGTCCCTTGGTGAGAGGGTGCTGGTGCCTGCTATCTGTAACGGCGTCCATGCTGTGCTGGGCATGTGGGCCAAGGCCAGAAGCTCGTACGTCGGCTTCTACCACCTTTCCCTGCCTCTGCTGCCAATAGTAACTGTGGGCTTTGGTTTCTCCCTGAAGCTGGCCCCGCCACCATCTACCCACATCTCTGTTCTGATTTCCATCATGAGTGGGACATCTTTTGTCATCACAGGTAAAACAGTAGATGTAATTTAGAGAAGAAAATGAAGGTTCTTTGCCTCAGAACAAATTGACCTCTAATCAACTTCCAAATCTCTCTCTCAATCCAATTCAATTCAATTCAATTTTATTTATATAGCGCCAAATCACAACAACAGTTATCTCACAGCGCTTTTCATAAAAGAGCAGGTCTACTCTATGATGCTATTTACAGAAGCCCAACAGTTCCCACCGAGAGCAAGCACTAGGCGACAGAGGCAAGGAAAAACTTCCTTTTAAGAGGCAGAATCCTCGAGCAGAACCATGGCTCAGGGTGGGCGGCCATCTGCCTTGGGGGTGAAGGAGAGAGAGAGGGGGGGGGGCAGGGCAGGAGAGGAACAGAGAGAAAAAGAGAGGGATGGAAGGAGAGAGAGAGGGGAGGGAGGCAGCCTACACAATATACACACACAGAGGTACAGACAGTAAAGGTAATGTTGCTATAGACTAAATGAAAAATGGTACAGATATTTATAGTAGTGTTAATGGTAACAGTCGTAATGTTAATGATTATAATAACAATAATAATAATAGGACTAGTAACAATAGTCGTTGCAGCAGAGGGTGTCGAGCAGGAACACGGGGGCAGCAGGTGACCCGCAGCCACAGATCCAGACTCCACAGCTCCAGAGCCAGAAAACCTGCAGGAAGTGATAGGAGGAGAGAGGAGAGGGACGAGAAAGCACAAGACTACCGGAAAGGGGAGAAGTTGTGTTAGTAACATGCAATAATGGGATGAGGTTGCATACAGAGGGAGAGAAAGTAGAGGAGAGAGGAGCTCAGTGCATCATGGGAAATCCCCCAGCAGTCTAGATCTATAGCAGCATAACTAAGGGATGGTTCAGGACTAACCTGAGCGAGGAGAAAGTCTTAAGCCTACTCTTAAATGTGGAGATGGTGTCTTCCTCCTGAACCCAAACTGGAACCTGGTTCCACAGGAGAGGAGCTTGATAGCTGAACGCTCTGGCTCCTAGTCTACTTTTGGAACCACAAGTAACCCTGCATTCTGGGAGCGCAGTGCTCTGGTGGGGTAGTAAGGTACTATGAGCTCTTGAAGATAAGATGGTGCCTGACCATTAAGAGCTTTGTAGGTAAGAAGAATGATTTTAAATTCTATTCTGGATTTTACTGGAAGCCAATGCAAAGAAGCTAAAACAGGATAAATATGATCTCTTTTCCTGGTTCCTGTCAGAACACGTGCTGCAGCATTCTGGATCAGCTGAAGAGTCTTAATGGACTTTTTAGAGCAGCCTGATAATAAGGAATTGCAGTAATCCAGCCTAGAAGTAACAAATGCATGGACTAGTTTTTCTGCATCATTTTTAGCCAGGATGTTTCTGATTTTGGCAATATTACGTAGGTGAAAAAAGGCGGTCCTTGAAATTTGCTTAATGTGAGACTTAAACGACATGTCCTGATCAAAGATAACTCCAAGATTCCTCACAGTGGTGCTGGAGGCCAGGGCAATGCCATCCAGGGAAACTATATCTTTAGATAATGCGTCACGGAGGTGCTTAGGCCCCAGAGCAATAACTTCAGTTTTATCTGAGTTTAACATTAGAAAATTACAGGTCATCCAGGTTTTAACATCCTGAAGGCACATTTGAAGTTTAGCTAACTGATGAGTTTCATCTGGCTTGATCGATAGATATAACTGAGTATCATCTGCATAACAATGAAAGCTTATGGAATATTTCCTGATAATATTGCCTAAAGGAAGCAAGTCCTTATCTGATGCAATAAGGAGGTCGTTAGTAATTTTCACCAGTGCTGTCTCTGTGCTATGATCCTGACTGAAAATCCTCAAATAAACTATTGCTCTGTAGAAAGTCCCACAGCTGTTTAGAAACTGCTTTCTCCAGAACCTTAGAGAGAAATGAAAGGTTAGATATAGGTCTATAGTTGGCTAAAATATCCGGATCAAGTTTGGGCTTTTTCAGAAGAGGTTTAATTACAGCTACTTTAAAGTACTGTGGTAGATTGATCATATCTAGTATAGAAGAGACTAAGGGTAAAACATCTTTAAGCAGCCTAGTCGGGATGGGGTCTAAAAGGCAGGTTGATGGTTTAGATGAAGAAATTATTGAAGTTAGTTGGTAAAGACTGAGGGAAGCAAAACAGTCTAAACATATATCTCTCTCAATTCAATTTCAATTTCAATTTCACTTCAGAAGAACAACATTCCCAAAGCTTCAAGGATAATACAATTCAGTAATGAGATGAGAAAAAAAAGACAAAATACAATTCATTACATAAATAAATAAAATAACATTAAAAAACAGTAGACAAGTATCTCTCTTTCTCTCTGCAGCCTCCCAAGGGTTGGCAGATATCGAGCCTCTGGAGTACGTGTATGCACCTCTGGCTCTAATCCTCCACAGTCTTTCTTTGACTTGGCTGGCTAAAGTGTCTGAGGCAGAGCGCCAAAACACCCCTGATGCCCAAGCCTCCATTTTTGACATCTACTACAACCAGCTGGTCAACCAGTGCTGGGTGCTGGGCCTCCTGTGGATGCTGCACCCGGACAGTCCCTGGCAGGTGTTGAGTCAGGGCAGCTGGCACAACCTGCTCTTCCACGGCTACCTGTTCGCTATTCTCCTGCTGGGGATGCTACTGAACTTCCTGGTCGGTATATCTGCTCTGTCTGTCTCACCTCTTGCTGCTGCACTGCTATACTCTGCAAGGCAGATGGTACAGCCGTTCCTCCAGATTTTGTAGTTTCGAAAGGACTGAGAAAAATGATTGACTGTTGTGCTGTGTCAACGTGACATGCACACCGACAGGCTGATTAAATTACACAGCCAATCCACACCACTGACCACAGTGTCACTTTATTCTGTGGGGAATAACAGGTAATCCGTCTTTCTTCTGTTCACAGTAACATGACCTGTGCTACTGAGGCACTTGGTCATATTGCAAACATAAAACATTTTCACTTGGGTCCAAATGTCTAAACAAAAAACATTTTTTATTGTAGTCTTTTTTTTGTAAATATAAAGCTTTACTGAGTTGACAGTGTATTTATTCAAGATTACATCATTTGGAAATCACTTTCAGATTGCTCACATTGTTGTTGCATGCATACTATCTGTACAGTGGCCCTGAGAACCATTTCTGTATTTGGTTGTGTTTTCTTACTTGCACTGTTTTGTTCTAAATGTGGCGCATGTGTTGTCAAATTGGGGAAAATGTTTTCTTCATTTGCTTGTGTTTTGTCTATTTGCATGTATTAAGTTGCAGTGCTTTGAACTCTTAGGGTCAACATACCCTTAATACATCTTACCTCTTTCTGCAATTTTGGCACTTCTGCTGTTGTTTACTTGCCTGGAAACCAGATAAATTTGCAAGCTAGTGTTTTATTTGCTCTGGCAGAATTGGTAGAGCTAGTTGTTTACACTGTGCAGTGAGTACTTTTGTTGTAAAATATTTGCCAGGATGTGACGATGTCAGAGGAGTGAGGCAGCTGAGCACCAGCATCTGTACAGGACAGGAATATAACCAAATATATAACCACGTGAAGACTAAACCACCTAAATAAAGATCCCCCTCTTCTAGTTGAGTGAAGAACATTAGGCACTTTTTAAAAACAATGCTCCACAGACTGTGGCCTTAATGGGAGAGCCGCAGTTACAAATATAGCACCTCTTCGACAGTGAAACAAGCATACATCAGCAGCAGGGGTTAAACAACACCAGTTTTCTTTTAGAGCTGATGCAGTACATTAGTGTCAAGTTAATATCTACAAGCAAGTTTCCCTAATGAATATTCATGAAACATTTTCCAATTTATTTTGTTTTGTGGAAGCTGTCCTTGAATGATTCTTATTTCACATGAGAAGGGATAACGAGGAGGGGTGGGTTGTTCGTACTGGACCGACTGTTGAACTCTCATTATGTTTACTTAATTTAGCCGTGTTAAAAATATTTAAACTCAGATCCTTGACTGAATTAATTTTTAACCAGAGGTTTGTTGCCCTTGAATGAATCTGACCCCCTAAGGTTTGTCAGAAGGGATTGCAATGAGGAAAGAATGAAATTGTGCTGGCAGTAATTTATTTGAGCCTATGCTTTATTATTTAATTAGCTTAATCTAAATATGCATTTGTGTTACATTTAAAATAGTGTAAGTAAATGTTTTACTATTTTATGTTTAAACATTTGTTTACTTATGTGATAATAATGAACTACCTGATAATGTTGAACCAAAGAGAATACATGTAGTAAACTAAAATTAAACTGAAATAACACTTTATTTCCAAAATTATTTATTCTGTTTCTAACTGAATATAAGTGCTGTCAAAAAACACCCATAGTTCACACATTTCCAAAATTACACAAAAAGCAGCATGCATTAACAATCCTCCGTAAACCTGATCAAAATGCTTCATAGTCATAACTTGCTTCTGAATCTTGCACTTTCAGTATACTGTGATTTCAAACACACAATTTCAATGAGTAAGAGAACTTTTTCATCTTTTCTTCTGTGGTAGAGTCCTGTTTTATCCTTCCGTGGTCTTTGAAGCTCAAATGTGCTTTATGTAAATCATATTTAACTAAATATTACCTAATGAGAGCAGACTGTAAAATTACATTTATTGGATTAAGAAACATGGGGGGGGCACGATTCAGGGCAACACTGACAAAATAAATCTGTATTTACATTGCCAGTACTGAAGATGAATGCAAATCACCATTATAGAGAATATATATATATATAGAAAACATTCTTCTAAATAATCTTATGAAGTTATTTTGGTATGTTAAGTACATTTGTAAATCATGTTGTCTAATGTTAACTGTATACAACAACAACAGATTTTTTTTCCTAATGTTTTATGATGTAGGAAATGCACCCGTGTTTTCCATTCCCAAAGCACACAGTTTTACAGTGCACACATTAAGTTTGTCTGAGAGGCATTGAATGTAAAAAAACAAAAACATGTTTGTTTAAGATAAAAACTCGACAGGACGTCCTCAACATCCATAAGTGCTTTGCCAACAGAAGTATCAAGGCATTCTGCTACCAGCTTTAAGGGGAGCCTCCTTAGCTGCAGATGCTGGTCCTTGCTGTGTGTTTGAGAGCGCCAGATATTGCCTCTACCTCTCTACGTCCTTTATGAGGGATCAGAGTTGGGTGGTAGGTGAATACCCAGACTCTGCAGCAGGTTAGAAGTCGGTCCGGCCAGGCCGGCCTGGCAGCTGAGGGATTCCAGCAGGTTTGTGACCAGGTTGAGGTCGACATCAAGGGGCTGGATCTCCTCCTCCGTCTCCTCCGCTCCTCCATTTGTCGGAAGTCCGTCTGTGGCAGAGGGATGAGGGGAGCCATTGCCCAAACCTGCCTTGTTGCAATTCTGTAGAAAGGACAAATACGGTAAAACAAATTATTTCTTAACTACATTCAGGATGACACGTGCAATATTTCACCTGTTTAGCTCTTATTAATTTGAAAATGAACAATATCTATATATAATATATATGAGGTTGAGGCAGAGGGAGGTATATGGGGATTTGTAAAGTGTATAATCGCAAGCATAGTTTACAGTCAGATTGAAGCTTTGTCCTATATTAGTGCTCATCAGCTCCTGATCCATTTGGTCCATGTATGCTCTGAGACCGTCCAAAGTTTCTGTCCCATTCATCTCTGCATGACCGGATGACCCCTCTTCTTTTTCCTCCCTCTCCTCCCCCTCATCATCTTCTTCGTCGTCATCATCACTCAGATCATCCGAGTCTAGCTTGTCTTCTTTGCTTCCTATAAAAATTAAAAGACAGACAGATTCAGTAAAGAGAGGAACATGTGGCAAGTTTCTAACTGTTATGCAACATCTTTCATAACTTGTACCTAGTACTCTGTCCAGCGCATTGGCCATGGAGTCGGGGTCAAAACTAAAAGGCTGAGTTGAACTGCTCCTGGAACACAGAGAAAAACTGTTTTTTATTCAGATTTTCTGTACTCCAACATGTGTGTCTGTGTGTTGTTCTGTTCATTACTTTTTATTATAATATGGAAAATAAACACATAAATTATCCTAATTTACAGTCCTCCATTACAGTCATTGACCCAAATGTGCCTTGATGGTCTTGGCTAAAAATTCTAATCTGTACTAGCCACATAGTCAGTCAGTCTCACCAGGGCAGTTCAGCACCCTCATGCGATGACATGGCACTGAGGAAGTTTTTCATGCCCTGACTGACTGCTACCAGGCTGTAACCGGCCTCCTCCTCCTCTTTGCTGTCCTCAACATGTTGTCTCTGTTTGGTGGACCTGGAGTTTTGGCTCCCAGCATCAGCTCTCCCCCCGCTCCTCTCCTGCAACATGCGCTCCAAATCTTGAGCTGTGATATCCAGCCAGCTGTCACCTGGAGACAGACACAAAGAAAACCCAATTATGGAAAATGGTTGAAAGAGAGACAGGGTGGAGAATGGAGGACGCATACCAAAAGGAAAGAAACTGAGGGGAACTGGCAGAAAGCAGAAAATCCCAGGTGGCAGAGACAGACAAAGGCAATGTTTACTTTTTAGCAAGGTCATATCAGCCTTGCAATACTTACTTTACAGTAAGTAAAACAATCTTTAAAAAAAATCTTTAACCACCATTATGATGCTTGCTGGTGGTCCATCGAGTCCGATGATGACATCCCTCCTCGTTACCGGTGTGTTCTTTGATGACTATAGAGTCCAATTCTTGATCCACAGGTTTTATTGCACGTTGGGCATATAAAGTCTGTGTTAGTGGGGGCAGGCATAGGGCAGTGTGTCTCCTTTGTCTTTTCTGTTGTTTTCTCACATTACGCTCCATTTCCAGCTGTTTTATGCCTTTGTTGCAGAGCTCCCGCCAGCTGGAACGGTGGATGGCAGCTTGTTCCAGTCTTAAGGGGTCAATACAACATTTCTTCACTGATGTTTTTCGCAGGTCTTTGTACCGCTTCTTCTGACTACCTGCAGACCGGCGACCCAGATGAAGCTGTCCATACAGGACTTGACGTGGCAGGCGTTGTTGAGGTATTCTGATAACGTGCCCAAGCCGGCGCAGTTGAAACACGAGGTACACGGTCACGCCCCGTGATTCCCATTATTCGCTGCAGACAGCCTATGTGGAACCACTCCAGCATCCTTAAGTGGACACTGTATGTGACCCAGGCTTCACAGCTATATAGGAGAATGGTGATACAGACAGCTTTGTAAATGGCAATTTTGGTGTACAAGCTGAGGTGTTTGTTTTAGAAGACCTTATGTCGGAGTTTGCCAAAGGTGACAGAGGCTTGTTTGATTCTATTGTGAATTTCGTGATCAATGTTGCAGCCCTCAGTCAGGATGCTGCCCAGGTATTTGAAAGATGGGACAATTGAGAGTGGTTGATGTGCTATGGTAAAGACGGGCGTAAGGGGCTGGACCTCCATTGTCATATCCCCTCAGTCTTAGTGGTGTTGACAGATAGACCCAGCCTGCTGTAGGCATTCACAACTGCGACAAGGGTGGTTTGCAGGTCTTCTGGTGTGTGAGCCACAAGAGCGCAGTCATCAACATGCTGCAGCTCAAGTATCTGCACTGCTGACCCTTGGTAGTTGCCTGGAGCCTTCGAATATTGAAGAGGTTTCCATCCAGCCTGAAGTCTATTGTGATCCCACTACTACCTTCTAAGTCTTTATGAAAGAGCTTTGTGACACAAAGGAGGAAGATATTGAATAGCACTGGTGCCGGCATGCACCCCTGCCTCACTCCAGTGTGTACATTAAAGGGTGCCGATTCCTGTCCACCTATGACCACTCGAGCCACCATCCCATCATGGAACTGTGACAGAATGTTTACGAATTTACAAAACTTTCTAAGGATGTCCCAAAGTAGCTCACGGTTCACAGTGTCAAAAGGCAGACTTTACCCACCATTATGATAATAAGTCAAGGTCAGACTTGACAGAAATTACACTTAACAGAGGGGTAATGTCTCTAATGTGAAGTAAGGATCATTTGTCATAAATTATGCTTGGACATTTAGATTTTTTATAACTGCCTTTCACACCTGCAACTGCACAGCGTTTCATAATCAAAGGATAGATTTTCACTCACTGTCCTCTTGGGGGAGCTGTGACTCTTGTTTCTTTAGCTCCTCCAATTTGAATGGATTGCAGCTGTGCAGCAGCTGGAGAACCTCCTCACCCGGTGACGAAGCACTGAGACGACAAACACAATAGGTACACTCGGGTGTCACAGGCAGCATATTCACACAGTGTTAGTCATGTGCACACGCATGCACAGTCCTCACCTTGACGTTGAGGCGACAGACTGTTTGAAGAAGTT